AATAAATAAGTAAACATCACAATGTAAATACTGTCACCAATATCACTGGGTTAAAAATAAAATTACTTAACTAACTAATTCGTTGTTGACTCGAAAAGGTCACCATAACACAACTAATGTGGACACTCAGGAACAACTGAGTCACTAATTCAAAGAGGTATCTGATTGGAGGTTCACAGTTTCTCTTAATTGCACTCATTTTACACCGCTTTGCACAGTGAAGGAGAATGCTTCAAAGCGACATGTTAACATCAAGTTGAAAGGTAAAGTTTTGTGTTGCTTTTTAAGCATGAACTATTTAGATGTTATGTTAGGACAGGTAGTTCTATTCTGGACACGAGAACTTAAGATTCCTGGTTATCTACCTGTCCAGTACTTACACTACTAACGTTTTTGAGAACTAACTAGTAATACTAATAAAGCTTTTTTTTTTGTTATAACTTCGCATTAAATACCAAAATACTTCTAACAAATTCTTGTATAGGCTTGCTTGTACGTAAAGTCTATCTTAGTACTAATATGGAAATTAACTCCAGCACACTAAAATCACCACACAAGCACAATAATGGAGACAATCAAACATAACTTTTTTTTTACCGTTTACTTATCAGTTGTAAAATCACCAGTTGCAATTATGTTGACGTCAATGAATATAATACCATGCACTTATATTGTGATTGATATTTAAATGCCACTTTTGTTTGTTATTTGTGTTATCTCTAAGCTTTTGGGATTGGTGCCATTTTGTATTGTGTTATGTATTATATTATTACGTATTCGTATACCGTAGTTCGAAGGCAAACAATCTTATTTTTATAAGACCCAACCATTGTGAACCAAGTTTAGTGAAGACAGATTTCTATTATTGAAAGTAGGTATAACTTCGGATGTAGCTGTATTGTTAGTATCTGCTCTAGTTACTTTGCTTGGATCACAAATGGTTGGTTGTATTTTTAGCATGCGACGAGTTACTTTGCCTGTGCAATTCCAGTATTTTAAAGTCTATTTTAAGTTTTAAACTCTTTCTTTCCTAGAGACACAGTTTTGAGAAAATATTGGAATTGCGTTTTTGAGACATATTCGAACTATTATGTACTGTCTATCTATCTGTTTAATGTATTATGTTTTAGTATAAAGCTATACAAGTATATTGAGTATTCCGTTAAAAGCTTAGTTGCAAAATATTATATTCATAGGTGTTATATTTAAGGTAGTCTTCTAAGGCAGAAAATTTTATTTTACTTTGTTTATATTTTTCAGACTATCGACATTCCAGTGCTGACAAGCCCTACTTGAATATACCGCAAAGCGTAGTCCAAGAGAAGGGTCCAACAGTCGACTTGAATGCACTCAACCCCACCTTGCACCGCCACCACACCGCCCACCTCCGAGGCAGGCACGGCGTCGTCAACTATGAAGCCACCACTAACCCTCCAGAACAACCCAAATTCTGGACGCTACCCAAAAGAAACACCCTAGAACCAAACGCATCAAGATTCAATTTCCCACCTCCCCGACAAATACACCCAGAACAAAGAATTCCCCCGACCACAACGAACGATGAATCCATACGAATATCACCCATCGATCCACGAACTACGGGCACTTTCAAATCATCGACGCCTTCGAACAAGGAAAACGTTATCGATTTTAGCTCAAAACTGCTTTCACCTGTTAAATCTACCATGACCAACGAAGAGCTTTATGCTGTTATACATAAGAGCAAGAAGAAACTCAACATCAAAGACGCCACAGATAGAGCAGAGTCGCCTGCGTTATCTACTATCAGTTTGTCTCCAGTGAGTTCCGAGACATCTCTGTATAGTAAAGGCAGTCAACGATATCCAGAAACAGGGTACCTGGGAGACCCGCGTAGCAGAATGAGTTGGTCTCCGGCCGATAAATATTCAATTCCTCCCGTTGCAATAGGCTCTACCTTTGGTGTCCAAAAACAAGAATCTACTTGCGCAGATAGGTATGGACCTATACCGCAAACTTCGAGACTAGATTTCAAAAAACTGCTCTTGCAACACAGTGTGAAACTAAACACATTGAATCCTCAAACTAAATCTAACAAATTATCAGCAGTTGAACAATTAAAACTATCCAAAGAAAAAGCTCAACCACCTTCAGCACAACCATCTACTAATAGATCACAAATTAACATCCTTGATCTCAGTGGGTCTCCGAAAACTTATAGCCATAGAAAAGTGATTAAAACTAATCAACAACCAGCTTCTCCTGGGAGAACAGGTGCCTTAATAAAAGAACATAAAAATACTCCAAAAATTTTGCTATCTCCCAAATCCCAATGGAGGTTTTCAAGTCCCCGATCCGACGTTCTATCCACTCCAATACCCGAAGCGAACAACGAAGATGAGAACTCGAATAGTTCTGGTGAAAGACACGATGTTTCTCCTAACCCACCGCCAAAAACAGTTCCTATAGTTACAAATCAACACTTTGGAGCGCGAAGGAATCTTATACCAATAAACGAAAATGCTTATGAAGTTGAAAACGATTTCGCCGAATCTATTGACCACGGCGTGTTTCCGTTGAATGCAGAATTTGCAAAAGCCCATGGTTTGTCTAGGTCGGAAATAATGCAAGCGAAACGAGCAGAATTCTTTAATAGGTCTCCTGAATCGTCGCCTCCTAAGTTTACTTCCTTCAAGAGTCCCACGACGGCGGGTCCGTCGGCAGCGAGCTCCAGGAGCAAGACTTCTCCGGAAAGGGGGAAGACTTCTCCTACCACTTTAGAAACGGCATTATGATGATTTCCATGAATTAAGAAGTCGGTGCTTTAAATTTTTGACGCTCGAGGATTTCGTTAATATGGCAATGAAATTGATAGAAGCTTTAATCTAGTCTTTTCTTGCTTGATGTGCCATTTTTGAAGGCACCAGTGGCGTATTCAAGACCAGTGATTGATTGAACTATTGAAAAGAATGGCAATCAGCTCAAAATCATTTTAATGCTCTAATGGGGCCAATTTTGTTTGTGTAATTGATATTAAAATAATGTACAACGTCATGGTTATAAACTAGTGAGTAAGTATTTATTGAGTACATGATAGGTACTATGTAAGTAGTGTTTTGGACTTTTTCAAAGTTTTTAAGTTATTCGGAATACAATTTTAATTAAATGTGTTGAATAATAAGCTACGTTTTGTTATTATCAACCCGTAGCTTCGATAATTAACACCAAATAGTCAAAAGCTTCCAATGTCACAATGTCTAGTCTCTGTAGTCTAGTGGGAAGACCACCTGCTTCAGACCCAGACGTCCCGGGTTCGATTCCTAGTGGGGGCAAAATTTTCTGCTCGGCAAGGGCTTGTACTAAGTCCGCCTGGCTACCTATCACTACGCACTTGTCACTAATGGCTGCTAATGTTAACTCGAGTAATTAGCCAGTCAATAGCTTGGTGGCTTGATCCATGCTCGGACTTCATGGTCCAGTGCAGTCTTCAGCTTCGACTACAAAGTAGGTAATGCTTGGGTTTGATTCTCACTCCCGTATTCACAAACGATGCTTGCTTAAGTGAAGCAGCAAATCGAACGCACAGCGTTGAATAGAGCTCTGTGATTGGTTCGTGTATGACCCTGTGCGTCCACGCGCTGACCTCAGTAATGTTTGTGAATACGGGCGTCTGTGTAGGTCACACAAAATGTAGGTTTCTTCACAATGATCAAAAGCAAAATGCTTGAAGTCTATGTAAATAAATGTCACGACGTCATCTTAACTTCTGTCATAACTTCTATGACATTCACCACCACATTGTAGGTAAATAGGTATGAATATGTTTACATTTTGTACAAGTTTCCGAAGAGTTATCATGTTTGCTGATTTACTGAATAAAAAAAATACGAAATGAAGTGCACCTCAGCCTCAGACTCAAGCGAGACCTCAATGAGCACCAAACGCTGCTCACTGAAGCTCCGAATCCTCACCCTGGTATTGACTACTGCAGACTTGATCAACGAGAGAGCGACGCCTACAATGGGGATGTCACACGCGATTATATCGCCTATAGCAATCTTCACTACGTACATTTTCGTCGGCATCTTCGTTGTAGGAGCCGTGCGTCAAAAGTTTGCCTCGAAATTTTTACAAACCTATGCACTGTTAACCTGCTCAGCTCTCCACATGTACCTGTCTATAGTAGTCTTCAGAGAGCTTCGACGCCAGCTGAATAACGATCGGCCTGCTGCAGCAGGTCTGGTACTGAATGGAGTGCTTCCTATGTTGTTAATCTTCGTATTAGTCGCAGACCTCATAGTCATATTGCTATCTGATCGCACAATAGCATCTCCGGTGCTCCCTGGAAATTCACGACAACCAACGCCTGTGGATATTCAAGGGACGTAAATTGTATTTTTATAAGATTTTTAAACAAAATGTGTAGATAGAACCAATAACTTTTGTGTATCTAATGAAATAAATAGCGTGCAAAATGTTTATACAAGTAGATTAATTATTACTGCAATCAAAGTGAGTCTAATGAGTGTGAAGCAGATCTAGTGAAGGGTACATCAAACATCTGAGGGAGTGGGAATATACCTACTACTTACTGCTTCAAAAGATAATTAATTTAAGTGACAAGAAAAAAAGGTTTCAGAGAAATTTAAGTGTTGTATGAGCTTCGGCCAAACCAACGCGGATCGCCGCGTTGCACGCGTTGGTTTGGCCGAACCTTTATAATTATGATTCCTCAGAGATCCACTTACCTTGTAGAGACACTTAATAAAACTACACTTCCATTCCCCTGAGATATCACGCTGACATTTGACGATACAAAAACACCCTCCAGTGCCTCTCCCACACCTTTGGCACCAACTAAGTTACTATTACTGTTATAGTTCTTGTGGTTCTAGTGCTTATCTCAGTGTCATTGAGAACATATTTCATCAAAAGTAGTGTGAAAAGTCTCGAATAGATGAAAAGACTTGATAAAGAGCGGACACTAACAAAATTAATAGGGTATTGTATAAAAAAAACAGTTTATTTTAGAAAAATGTATTTATTTTACATTACTTAGTAAAACTACCTTATTCTAAAAATATATAATCAATCAATCACACAATAAGACCACATTATTCGGCATGTGACGATGNCTATTAACAACGAATATGGTGATTTCAACGTCTTACAAAACTAATTTGTCAGTCTAACACCATCAATACTTGCAGTAAATTGATATTCCACAGGTTGACACAACAAAACAAAATGAAAAATTTGTTACACTTTACTTCTCTTAATCCTTCAAGCTCCATGAATCCAGACAAAATAGATAATCAATTGTTACGTGGTAGCCGGCTACCGCTTGGGGGCTGAGAGGTTAAGTATTTTTTATATAAATCATCAAACTAATATCAATTCCGGAGAACACAACTTCATTTAATAATCTGACAGGAGTGATCTTAAAGTATAATAAAATTAATTAGGTACCATTACAACTATAATGACAATATATTTTAACTTAGTCAAATCCAGTATTCAAGATATTTTAACAAAATAACACAAATAGTAGACCTGACTATGTTAATTACCATTGAATGTGGTATTTCTCAAACATGACATGGTATTTTTTTACCATAGTACAGAACACAATTTCACACACTTTCACTATTTGTTCATAGGAGGTCCATTCATTAGAGGTGGTCTCATCTGACCCATAGGTCCCATGGGGCCCATCGGCCCCATCATAGGTCCCATCATTGGTCTCATTCCCATCATTGGCGGCATAGGTCCATGAGGCCCCATCATCATCGGTGGAGCCATCGGTCCTCCTGGGCCCATAGCAGGCGGTGGTAACATGCCCGGTGGGCCTCCCGGCGCAGGAACAGGCGGCCTGGGACCACCAGGACCCATCACAGAAGGATCCCAAGGTGGAGGTATAGCTGCTCCCTTAGTTCCGAACGGGTTTTGAGCAATTTTGCCCGCTTTGAACGCTGCTGTGGTAGCGTCGATGAGATGTTGTGCTTGCTCCTCCATCCACTTTTGATAGTAAAACTTCACGTTGTCTTTATGTTTTCTTCCTGTACAATGAGTTTTTCTAACGCTAGGTGAATCGTGCGTTAGATATGTGTCACAATAATCACAATAGTACTTTGGCATTTTTATTTTACAATCCTAGAATTTCACGAAAATGCTTGAAAACACGTTCTTGATGATTCGCTTGCCGCACACAAGCACAGATTAGAAAGTATGTGCACACAAGAGAAGACAGTGAGTGACTGATGTGACACACAGTGACAGATGAAAGTGTGTTTATATCTGTGGTATTTAATGTGGTGTTTTATGATTATGTTGGCAATAGTGGTCCATACATACAAAGACCTTATATTTCATTGAGAATGAGCACTCGGTATCCAAAATGGCAAAATTGTAAAAATACTCTCGCTTGGTTATGATTTTTATAGGTTTAAAAAGGACCTCTTTCTTTCAATCTCTTGTTTATTTACCTGTAAATGCACTAGAAAAATTAATTTCGTATTTCGGTAATGAAGTTAAAGACCTTCCTTTTTATTTAGTTCCAAGGTTTATTTAATTTGTCGGCGCCGGACACAGATGCTGCAAATTATTATTGACTAGCTTTCCGCCCGCGGCTTCGCCCGCGTGGAATTTTGTCTGTCACAGAAAAACTTTATCGCGCGCGTCCCTGTTTCAAAAACCGGGATAAAAACTATCCTATGTTCTTTCCCGGGACTCAAACTATATCTATGCCAAATTTCATCAAAATCGGTTGCGAGGTTTAAGCGGGAAAGCGTAACAGACAGACAGACAGACAGACAGACAGACAGACAGACAGACAGAGTTACTTTCGCATTTATAATATTAGTTGGGATGATTAATAGTACCAATCTTAATATTATGTTATCTGTATAAATCTGTAGAGCGGAAGGTTTGTGATTCCTAAACACAGATATGGATTAGAGTAGATACAGCAAGTTGATCGTCAAAGCGTGCCATTCCGATATGTCCAAATGGACATACATGGTCGAGTGATGTTCATGTAATCCGATTACAAAAATCGGTTACGATGATTTTACGAGGACAGTAGTATGAACACGGTAGAAAGAAGAAATTATTTACGGATTGAGAATTGTAATTAACAGCACAAGTAACAAATAATTAATTAAAATAAAGTAGCAGTAGAAGAAGTATAAAGTAGCATTGTTTTTAATACATATCCTGCGATGTACTATTATTAAGAGTTAAAACCATGGTCCCTGTATGTGGTGCACTCATACCGATCCCAAGGAACCGTACTTACTCATAACAATAAGACAGACACTGATCCATGTATTCATGCACTTGACAAAATGTCTTAAAACGCTAGAAGGGGAAAAAAAAATAACGAGATTTGACGATTTGTAAGAATTAATTTATTTTAAAAAGTTAAATAAAGATGTTTTTGGTTTTGTATTTAACAAATTATCAGATTTATCGGAATTAATTAATTTTTTAATCGAGTCACACGATATCATTCGATGACTTTGCAAACGCAGTACGATGATACGATTACTTTTACGTTGCGGCAATCACTAAAATTCGCTAAAATGACACTAATGACGTTTAAAAAGTGGCACGCTCGGCTTCATACAATTTTTGACACATGCTGCATCTATCCATATCTGTGTTCCTAAACGTAACACCCGAGTGATGCGCAGAAAAAGATAACTGTCAATTAGTTGTGTCATGTCAAGTGTGAGCAAGCGGCTACGAGGTTATCTTTGAGAGCGTGTTGAGTTTGGTGGAACGTTAAATTGTAGGAAAAGTGATTGTCAACCATCCAAGATATTATCTCCTTGCCCGTTAACCCACGCCTATGGAGATTCCACCCCTAGAGTTCCTTCTGATAGAGACCCAGTGCCTTTAAATTTGTATTAAAAAATGCAAAATTAAATAAAATATGATAATAGTCAGCAGGTCAGCACTATTAGTTTTATAATCTCTGGTCGGCCAGAAAAGTTTTCATTTTATTATGTTGGTATTTTCTCCTTTTTTTATTTTGGCAACGCGACGGCTTGGTTTTGAGAATCATGATTTCGCCAATGTCATGTTGTTTTTTTTTTTTGGTTATTAATATTATTCTGTATTAAATAATGGCTTCAATGGTGCGTATTTGAAGCACACTGGTCCATTCGTTCCTTCTGGAACAGGCTAAGGTCAAAACACCATGCTGCTTAATGCATTTTATGTCGACGTCACGAGCTTTTTTTTTTCTTGTCTTTTGTAGGGCTGCCAGTTGATAGATTTGACCCCGTTTATGGGGAAAATAAAGAGCGAATGAGATATTCTGCTTAACTAATAACAATTTTAGTTGTTAGATGTTTAAGGGGTTGCATTTATTTTTCTAAAAAGAGTTTTTATTATTATAATGGTAGAAAACCAAATGAGGAGCGGCTATAGCCCGACCAGGAACATAAAAGCCCTCGCCATGTTGCGGAATACTAATGGTACTAATTTCTTTTAATGGCAACAGTAACTGAAAACTTCATTGACATGTCACCTTGCATGTCAGTCTATTGCTGTCAAAGTGTAAACAAACTTTATTTTAAATGTGCGCAATTGATTTTGTGAATTAAATTGCTAAAATATTTTTATAGTCGTGAGAGAAAAGTGGTTCACAATGTGTTAAAGTATTTGTCGAAGAGAAATACTAAGGGTTTGGACAATATTTTCATTGAATAATGTTTCCGACAAAGGTTGTCAAATTGACTGACATGTTTATCGTATACCACAGTCCACTATGAAAATTTAGCTGTGGTTTGTTTCAACTACCTAATTTAAAAGTTTTTGTCACTTTCTAAGTGTTGAATTTTATGGAATTGGGAAAGAAGTACCGAGTTTGAAGCGTCCACGAGCAGACATTGCAGTTGAATATTCAAGTTCTGAATTTGATTATTGATGAATAATAAAATAAATCCTACTAGCTCGATTGATGGTTTCATTTAATTTATTTAAACCAGGTTACCTATAATAATATTTTTTCGTTAATTCATGAAAATGGGTATTTCGCCGAAACAGTAAATTTTCTGTGTCCAGGCAGGCGAACACATGTTTTTTTTGTATTTATATGGATAAAACTATTTTTATGGGAAAGTTAATCAAAAGTTTTATTTGTTTTTGCTATTACAATAACAGAAACTACAAATAATACCGTAGAAAAACTTAATCAAAAGTCGTTTTTCTAATTTCCTTGTTATGTCCATTACTGTTGTTTGCCAAAATAAAGGCACATTATAACAAATTGAAGCGTATTTTCATTCTAATAGCACTCTCTTTATATTTGAGAAACGTTTGGCTATCGGAAAATAAAAACTTTAAACGTAAAATACTTAAAGGAAGGAAATAAAGTGAAGTTAAGTTCTTGTCCGAGTCAAAAGTATAATTTCCCTGGGTCTTCTTTTCGACCATTGTAGTAACGAAACGAAAGAACTTAGAATGCAATGCATTGCACCGTTACACTCGTCCATTTCGTCCCAAGAGGCCATCGAGGCAGGACAGTACTTCGTTGAACAGTTTCGCGACAAATCGCATAAGTAGGTCCCTCCTTGGGTTTTTGTTTACTAAAAAGTCAATTTCTTTGGACGGTTTTTTGCAGCTAAACAATGGATTAATTTTATTGTTTATTTACACAGATGTAGTGTCTGTAGGGGTAAACCCATGATTTAAATAGTAAATGCGTAGGGTAAATAGGTTTTTGTCTGTGGTGTCTTTTAGGCATAAATCTAATTTCTTTGGCCCTAATTTCCTTGTTTTCCGTGGCATAAAAAGGCCTAGGAAATTATAAAAGACCATTTTTAATTCGGCGTAAAGTCAAATTTTGAGTATTTCTTTATTGGAATGAGTTTAAAATTTACATTTTAAGAAATGGGTATCAGAATAGATATAGAACAACTTGTTTTTAACTCTTAACTCAATCTACTGAATTTATCTTCCTTAGTTGTGTAAAAAGGTCGTAATGATACAATATTCATTGGTATGTTTGCTTGCGAAGGTACACAAAAATGGGTCGAACAAAAAAAAAGCAAACCACAGAAGAAAACTTAGAGAAAAGAATATTTATAATAATTTCCTTGGCTACCAAAAATTCATGACCTTATAACTTTGTTTCTAAAACGAATTATGACACCCCTTTTAGATACATTAGCTTAGTTTTTGTTACTTAATACAATGGGAAACTAAAAATAGTTAAAAACAAACATATATTTCGTACCAAGGAAATTAGGCAAAATTGACCATTTTTGGCGAAATACCCAAATATCAAATTAGCCCGTAATCCTGAATCCTGATACATAAAGTTAGCCTATTAATTTAACACAGGTACGACTGTACTCAGTGTTGCACTATCAAATGCAATTGACGCGCCTCTATGCCAGGGTTTTTATGTTCCTGGTCAGGCTATACCTGTTATTTGAACATTTTTATAACATTTCAGATTGATGTTTATTCATCACGGATTTGTTAAATTTAATTGAATTGATGTACAAAAATTAATTTACTGTGTATACAGGGTGGAAACGATAAGTGATCTCACTCGATTATTTCTTAACTATACAAGATATCAATAAACTAGTTACTGATCCTGAAAGTGCTTCATGAGCTCTATCAAACGGTATTAATAATAGGTTACAGAATAAACTGGATCTATACAACATTCTTCATACACATACCTAAAATGTATATTCGTACTTCATGTTTATTAATATTAAAGAAAGTTATATAAATAAAAAAATTAAACGGTAAAAGATCGTTTTTTCAAATTTCCCCATTTTTTAGGGAAAATCGAACTTTAGATGGACCACCCACAAAAGCAGACAGCTCAACAGCTGTCAAATGTCATTTGTTATCATTATCGTTTTCGCGAACGCATGCGCGGTTGTTATTGCGCGACAGTCCGTTGTGCGATAAAATTAACTTTATTTAGATTTAATTTAATTGTAATTTAGTGGAACTGAGAGAATCGATCTTTGGAGTACCGCGTAGAATTAAAATGCCGGATATGAAATATATTTTGGTTACCGGTGGTGTTATAAGTGGGGTAGGGAAAGGTGTGATAGCAAGTTCTTTTGGCACGATTCTAAAAAGCTGTGGAATAGATGTAACATCAATAAAAATTGATCCTTATATTAATATTGACGCTGGCACCTTCTCTCCGTACGAGCATGGTAAGTGGGTCGGCAATTGGTTCCGGCATCACACTTTGGTTATGATTTGTTCCGCGTGGAACGTGCGTATGAACTGCACATTGTCTATTTTTATTCTCTAGGTGAAGTTTACGTTCTGGATGACGGAGGTGAAGTCGACCTTGATCTTGGCAACTACGAGCGGTTCCTCGACATCACCCTGCATAGAGACAACAACATAACTACAGGCAAAATATACCAACAGGTTATAGAAAGAGAGAGGCGCGGTGATTACCTGGGAAAAACTGTTCAGGGTATGTTTTTTATACTACTTTTGAGTTGTATTGAGTTTTTCGTTAGCTAGTTCTTTATATTTCACTGTTCTATTCTTTATATTTCACTGCAATCAAAAAATTGGTAAACAATTATTATTTCAGACAGATAGCTACTATGACTCAGTAATAATCAGAATAATTATGTTGAAGTGTACTTGTTTTTAGAATTGGATCAGTACCTACTTCTAGAGATAACCAACAAAGTACTTATTAAAATACTTAAAATGTATGAATACTCTGAATTCTGATTTGTTATTATTATTTTAGTTATTCCTCACATCACCGACGCAATCCAGGAATGGGTTCAAAGAGTGGCTCACATCCCAGTCACCAAAGACAATGCTCCTCCAAGAGTGTGCATAGTGGAGCTTGGAGGGACTATCGGAGACATCGAGAGCATGTCTTTTGTAGAAGCATTCAGGCAGTTCCAGTTCAGGGTGAAACGAGAAAACTTCTGCTGTGCCCATGTCTCATTAGTGCCAATGGTATGTAGGAATTTTTATTTAACTGTAATAAGTACTGAACTATAATTTATTCCAATTAATTTACAATGATTCCACCAACATTCGACAGAACCATTTACTTAATATACAATTTTAGGCTTTTACTTTGAAAAAATATTATTGTTGACTTTACAACGCTAAAGCAATGTTCATGAATTGACTTGAACTTTATGTACCACAATTAGAACAATAAATGATTTATTTATTTATTTAAACCTTAGCTAAGTATTTCTAAACACTAACATACAGGTAGGCACATTCTGTGTAGCAGCAGTTTTAACTTTATTTGACCTGCATAAATATTTTACCCTTTGCAAATATTTTATTTCAAATGAAGGTAAACAATCTCTTTCAGCCCAAAGCAACAGGTGAACCTAAAACGAAACCAACACAATCTTCCGTTAGAGAGCTCAGGGGACTTGGCTTATCCCCGGACTTGATTTTGTGCCGATCTGAAAAACCAATAAACCACACAGTGAAGGAGAAAATCTCGAATTTTTGCCATGTTGCTCCAGAGCAGGTAATTTTAAAGTTTTAAGTATAAACTATTGCATTGTCCACATCATATAACACTTCCTAGAAAATTGGTTATTATTTGATAGTACCACATTCATAGGAACTCAGTGTTTATAATTCTGGGTAGTCACCTACAAAGTTATGTTATCATGCCTGTTTAAAAATTAATTAACAAAACAATGTCTTCATGAATTGATTGGCTGTTTGAATAGAACAATGAAATGCTTTGTTTTTAATTCCGTACCTGAGACTATCTTACTATGAATTTATACAATAGCTACCATACAATGTTACATAATTCTTACAAGTAATTTATAACTGGTTACTATGTCTAAATGTATACAATACCTAAATGATCAAAAGCTTATTCAGTTATTTGTAATCATTATGGAAGAACAATAGAAAATATGCATAAACAGTCTTGCTGTAATTGTTTATTTTCATCTGTAATTCTGAGTAAAGATTCTTCAATTTTATGAAGACAATGGTATAATCTACTTTGGTACCTAAAAATAAGATGTTACAACTTTTATGGACAGAACCCTAAAACAAGTATCTTTGAACTAGTTTGTATGTATTAGATACCTAGTTATAGATATCCAGTGATGGAGGTTCAATGACTTTCTATAACTTTCACAACTTTCTATCTTGCAGGTTTTGTGTATTCATGATCTGAGCTCAGTGTATCATGTGCCACTTTTAATGGAGTCACAAGGACTGGTCCAGTACCTAAACGACAGACTTCAACTTAACATATCCATGCCACGGCCAGGAAGGTAAAAAATTACTCTAGAACTAGTTACAGTAAATTAATATCACATTAATTATGTGGAACACAGAACAGGATGTGTTGTTGGTATATTATAAATATTGATTAATCTTAAACATAACTATTTACTGGCCTAATTTTAAACCTAAAATTAATATTTGCTATGCCGTGATAAGGTGTTTTTTAGTACCGACGAGTGTTTGCACTAATTGTTCGTTTTGATTCACCACATTCCACATTCAGGTACATGCAAAAATGGCGTAACCTCGCAAAACGTGTGGACAACCTCCGCAAAGAGGTGAACATAGCTTTAGTTGGGAAGTACACCAAACTCGAAGACAGCTATGCTAGCGTGACTAAGGCCCTACAGCATGCTTGCATCGCAGCCGGGTCTAAACTGAACCTCACCTATATTGAAGCAGTGAATCTTGAGAAGCAAACTAAGATTGACGATCCTGTTAGTTACCACAAGGCGTGGCAGGATTTGTGCAAAAGCGAGTAAGTAATAAATCTTGCAACTGGCTGTTATACCAATTCGTCTACTGTCATCAATATTCTGTTGTCAAGCTATAAGAGATGATTTAATTTTATTGAAATTATAATTGATTGTTTATTCAATTTCATTTCATCCTTTAGGGCTTCCCAAACAGGTCGCCCTGAGTCGCAAAATAAATAGCGGATTCCCAAAGGGCTCACAGTACAAACTAACGATACAAAGATGCATATTTATCGAAATTAGGTCTCCACTTAGCACCATATTATTTCTTATTGTTACTGCAAAGAATTGTAATGTTTATCTGTAATTTTCAGTGGCGTAATAGTGCCTGGTGGCTTCGGTCAACGAGGCATGGAGGGCAAGATAGAAGCTTGCCAGTGGTGCCGCGAGACACAGAAGCCGATGCTCGGTATATGCCTAGGGCTCCAAGCGGCCGTCATAGAGTTTGCAAGGAACGTCCTCGGACTGAAAGGTGCGAACTCCACCGAAGTGGACCCGAACTGTGAAGATAAACTGATCATTGACATGCCCGAACACCATCCCGGTAACCTTGGAGGTACTATGAGACTGGGGAAAAGGAAAACTTTCTTGGAACCGAGCGTTATTAGTAAGTTGGATATTTTCGTACATTTATAGTAGAAGCTAATTGCGATTTGCGTCGAAGAGACCGTATGATGAAAAAAGTACTTAAAATTAATTACTCTGAATATAACTCAAATTATTACTAAGACTGAATTAACAGTAATAGATTTAATTCATGTAAAATCTAGTTCAGGGTCGTATCTGTATCATTATAGTATGAAATTGTTTCATGATAAAATGTTATTAAACCATACTACCTACTTATTTAGATAATTTAAAATTAAATAATGTGTCAGTACACAACAGTGCAGTAGCCCATTGGGTGAAACTGCATTTGGTAGCGGGTTCGAATCTCATTATTAGATCCAAAGTTAATCAGAGCCCTTTTTAAAAGACTAACTTACTGTTAATGCATTAATTTCGTAATTATTCTTTTTAGTCTCGTATTTTACCCCCTTACTAATAAAAAGTTACACAGTTGTTGATCACTGTTTTTAAATGACATTTCCATACTAAACGTCACTTTAAAACACTGTTCAACGAGCGTGTAAGTTTTATTAGTAAGAGGGTTAGTGTTTTACGCGTGCACGTTAGGTGGGAATATGAACGTTATTTTTATTTCTATAATGCACATTTTTGCAGCTCGGCTGTACAACAGCGACGTGATCGAGGAGCGCCACCGACACAGATATGAAGTGAACCCGGAGTATATCGACCGGCTGGAGGCCAGCGGACTCCGCTTCGTCGGAAAAGTAGGTTTTTGTTAAAAAAAAATGCATAACAAGGTAGGTATTTGACCACAGAATAATAATATAATAAGTACTACGTACAGAAGGTTTACTTCGCGAAGGTATTAAAAAAATGGTGTAATTTAGCTTGTCTCAAGAGTCAAGCACCATTTTGTTGACAAACGTCAGTGATCGGTACTGCGCCGAAGCCATAGGGCTGACTTCGGTAAAATGATGTGTGACGTGAGGTGCCAAACTGCAGAAAATGGCGGAGGAAATACATGACTAAGCATGAATTATCATGAATAATATTAACCACTTATGCCTCTCAGTGTCTTCAGGCAACTTAAAAAAGTACATTCTGTGTTTTTATTATTATTTAGGCAGTTAAATACTGCACAGTATTTAGTACGCCATTTTCTTTATTTTTTACATCATACAAAAGAATACGCGTGCGTGAGTCAATGCTCGATCGATGTAAACTCGCGGAGATGAACAGGCCTGATTTGACTACAATAGCACTTGGTGTTAAGTGGAATGCAATCATAGCTGCCCTGTAAGTGCCTATCCACTCTCGCCTTGAAAACTCCCGGATTATAGTCTTCGGGAAAGGCAGCAGTAGGCAGCGAATTCCAGTGAACGAATGAACACTATAATTAGGGAAGCCAAACATTGTACTTCCCATCAATCAAAACTGCCGTCCGTAATGGATGTCAATTTATCAGCACGTTATCTTTGCAAAAACATCCGATTGCACAGTCAAACCTTTTGGCACATTTTCTTTTTTTTTTTATTTAGTGCCAAATAAACCGTTTCTTTCTTTATTTTTCAAGTGTAGTTTCTGCGGCTTTCTTTCTTTCAAGGCTGTCGATAGATTAGACTGCCATGTGACGTCACACTTTTAGTCAATCTGGCTGGACCGTCTTCAGTTATATGACGCGTATTTCCAACGTTTCTAAAAACATAGCACATTGCTTAGACAAATATAAATTCATATTGTTTCTATAGTACGACCGCTTAAATGAGACCTCGCATGCGGAACGTTTAACGTTAACCACTTCACTGTGACGTCACATAAATCTTAAGAAGCGGGCGAAGTCGTTAGACATGAGATAAAATCAAAAATTTCACTGGATAATTCTCAAGATATATGACGTCACAGTGAAGTGGTTAACGTTAAACGTTNCGTTTATTCTTCATAAGTGACACAAAGAGAATGACAATAGACAAAAGAAGAAACATTTGCTTTTTTAAACCATAGACAATACTACTATGTGTTCCAATACCTAAGTTGTCGTCAGGAAGTTGGTCTAACAAATTCAGCTTGCAAGATTCCACCCGAAGTTACCTACATATTACATGTTCAAATTTCGAGAACGGCTGAACCGACAAAAACATTAGAAAATTTACGAAAAAATAAAAAAAATATCCCGTACAAAATGTTCATGGATTGTGTTATTTTTATTAAATACCTTTACGCCTGAGTTAAATGACACCGACATCAAGTTTAAAATAATAGGCAGTAATGTCATGAAAAAAGAGCTTCTATTCTGTATCTACCTATGCCCGTGTAATTTTGTTCGGTGTCAAATCGGAGTTTTCGTGCGGGGTGCGCGGGTGTTTCGCGCGGCGTGAAGGTCAAACGCCCAAGGTCATTGAGGACTCTAATCGCCTTAAGAAAAGGCTCAGAATACAGAACAAACCAGAAGGAGTGTTCGATAACATTTCTTCGCGGCAACTTGTGTCCAAAATATTTCCCCTCCCGCGCCCCTCTACCCCCTTTAGTGTTACTAGCGCCCTGTGACACCCCCATTTTTGGGGTAAAATTATGTAANTGCGGAACGTTTAACGTTAACCACTTCACTGTGACGTCACATAAATCTTAAGAAGCGGGCGAAGTCGTTAGACATGAGATAAAATCAAAAATTTCACTGGATAATTCTCAAGATATATGACGTCACAGTGAAGTGGTTAACGTTAAACGTTCCGCATGCGAGGTCTCATTTAAGCGGTCGTATTATAATGCCTTGCCTTATGCCTACTAAATATTATTTCTTTACTCCAGGACGAGAGTCGTACGCGCATGGAGGTGGCATCCGTGGAGTCGCACCCCTACTACGTGACAGTGCAGTTCCATCCCGAGTATCTGTCGCGCCCGCTCTCCCCTAGCCCCCCATTTTTAGGGTAAGTATAATATCTAAAGCCCGGTCTGTGAGCACGTAGAATTTTGTCCAATGACCCCAAGCTACCCATCCTTATCGCTCGCGCGTAATTATATTGCTGTCGCGACTGTGCGACGGGTGCCCGCAGTAAGTGTGCGAGCGCGATAGCAACATAATTACGCGCGAGCGATAAGGATGGGTAGCTTGGGGTCATTGGACAAAATTCTACGTGCTCGCAGACCAGACTATAGACGCCTAGTAAAATAGGACTCCCTGTGATGTTGCAAGAGGCGACTAGACTAAGGTCCGGTTTCTACCTAAGCGGATAAGAGGGGAAATGTTTGAATAATCAATTAGATTTCGTTATTTACATATCACGCCTTCGCTCAGCTTCGGTCTGGAAAGCTACTCTCCGCTTTGGTGAAAACCGGACCTAATAAAGGACATAATATTGTGATAAAATAAAAAAAATAAAAAATTAAAAAAAAAAAGCCTTTTATTTGCTACAAATCAACTTTACAATGACTAGGTTTATTAACTCAGTTTTATATTTAGATACCAATATTGTGATAAATCAGGTAAAAAAAAATTAAACCGAATTTATTTTGTTTCAGACTTATCCTGGCTTCATTAGGCAAATTAAAGAGTTATCTATCTAAAGGATGCCGCTTCAGCCCTAGAAACCAATCAGACGTCAGCTCAGGTAAACATCAAATATTTGGTCGGCCGTTTGGTGTAGTGGTTCGAAACGGACTACTATTCCGGAGGTTGCGGGTTCGATTCCCGCACAGTACAAACATTTGTGTGCATGAACATATTTGTTTGTATTGGACTGGGTGTTTTCTATGTATAATATGTATGTATTTACAAAAAAAAAGTATTTAAGTATGTTTATATCCGTTGTCTAGTACCCATAGTACAAGCTTTGCTTAGTTTGGGACTAGAAGCGTAGTGTAAAATGTCCAAGGAAAGGATGATGGGCACAAATGTATGGAAAGTGGTACCCGCTCCAATAGCCATAACCAATATACATATATTTCAAAAGGTCTTTACATGTAGGAAAATATCTGCTATGGGGCCAGTTCTAATTCACGTTTTGTAAGCAGTAATTCCACTAAGTATTATAAGAAAGTATAACACAATCATCCATGTATACGAGTATGTACTATGACTACAATCTATTAATATAACTAAAAGAAGCATTGAAAAGGAAAGGATTATACCTACGACGAACTACCCAAGCTATTAGCCCTTGATTCTCTTTCATCATCATCATCATGATCATTTTAGCCATTGCACGTCCAGTTGAACATAGGCCTCCCCCATTGATTTCCACAATGGGCGGTTGGTGGCGGCCTGCATCCAGCGCCTTCCCGCTACCTTTATGAGGTCGTCGGTCCATCTTGTGGGTGGACTTATTGGGTCTTGTGGGTTTATTCGCTTTAGCAACCCATAATAAAATCCTTAAGAAGTAATAAAACTCTAACCCCTTTATTAATAAAATTAAGTTACACCCTAGTTGAACTCTGGTATTGTCATTTGGTATGGAAATGTAATTTTAATCCATGGTTCATCCTAGGTGTAACTTTTTATTAATAAGGGGTAGTAGACGTAGTAGTTCTTCAAATAAAAATATTTATTTCACAATTATCTCTATAAATAATTATAGAGTTAAGGAAGAATGCTGGAGCAGTAAACCCTTCATGCCTCTCCTAACCTAAGTACCATACGATGGACACGTGTGATACTTCGACTACACAAAAAGTATATTTATCTTCGAACGCAACCAGATCTGAGGCTGGTGGCCATAGTAAATGTTGTTCGTCTTGGTAAGACTTTTCAAATGACACTAGAAACATAACTATTGGAGCCGGGTACCATTTTGCCCATTGTCCTTTATTTATTTATTAAATATAAAAACTTATTTGATTATTTTTCTACCGACATCTTACGTATTGCCCGCATTTTTGAGTCAATACGAATTTGATCGCCCGACATTTCTAGTGAAAGTTAGGAAAATAATATTGCCTCTTTATAAAACTTGTATTGTATTATTTCAGACGAAGAAGACGATCTATGCCTGAGCGACGAAAACGACAAGACAGTAGTTGAAAACGGAAAGGTGGTAAACGGATTCAACAAATTAGTTATAGAATAAGAGAAACTTTATCTTTAAGCGTACTCTTTGTTTGACGTTAAGTTTAGTTGTATTGTTTTACCTTTGTGGTACTTTTTTTTATTGTTTCCAGTGTTATTTCCCAGTGACATTTTGTGACTACTTTTTGATTCCGCCTTAACGAATGTCGATTATCTGGTCTTTTCTCTCAAGTTATTAATTTGATGGTTGTTTTATTTCTTTAGTTGTTACCAGGCGTAGCATTAACACACCTAAAGTTATACATAGTTATTACATTTATTGTAATAGTGGTTATTAAGCAACATTATGTAAACTTACTACTAACCGATTGATTTTTCAAAATTTTTACTTTGTTTTCGCACTGTGCTAGTTCGACGTTTTAAAAGGCGGGCCTTTAGTTTAACCCTTTATATCCCTACTTAATTTTTCTACACATTAATTAGCTAGTCAATATCTATGCAGCATAATATAGGATTTACATAAGACAACTGTGTATAGAACTACATAATTATGGTGCCCCAAATAATAGGCAGTGTATCGTTCTTTACTTCACTGTACATTCTACTCGAACCGTATTTTAAATAGAAATTGATTGGAATTTGATTCAACAATCGTTGATTATGTTTAATAGCGCAAGTCGTGAAATGAAACTATTTTCCAATCCAATTTTAAATTGTAATCTTGTATGCTAGTATTCTTAAAGTGACTACTTACTCGTTAAAATGATATTCTTCTACATTATATCTCTATAGATAATTGCTAGTAAATGTGTAGATCATAGTTAGCTAGAACTGTTTTGAAATTTTTCATGGTACTTTTTAATATTTAGGTACAACTTTTTTGAATTGCAAGAATGGTGTTTGATTTTCGTAATGTTATCATCGGCAATGTTTTGGAAATTAATTAAGACCTAATTCCAAATCTTGGGAACTGTTTGCCTGTAGAAAAAAATATTCCAAGGTTCAGAATGCTGGTTTAGGCAGAGCTTATGGAGTGTGGTTATTATTACTAATGTTTGAAAGAATAAAACAACATGCCTGTTCCCTTATTAATACATCGTTAAAGTTCTGTCTAGTTATACATAAAGAAGCAAATCTTGATCGAAATAGACAATACACTAATAGGAATGATATTCTGATGAATCTCTCACATTAAAATTTGTTCCATTTTTATATAACGTTGTGCTATGAGCGAGTAGGTATTTGATTATTTTCTAGGACCGAATATGATCAATAACTAACCAGTAATATTCATAAGCAAAATTGTATTGAAACCATTTCTAAAATTGTATAGAATCTAAGTCAGAGTTATATATTTTTATATTGCTTGTTTGATAACATAAATATTATCTACTTAATTAGTTGTTGGGAACAAAAAGTGTTGTTAAAACGATGTTACCGTTTTGTTTATTTAGCTAGAAAAAGTACTTTCTTGTTACATTAAGGTATTATTTTTATTACAATTAAATTCACAGTTAGTAGGTGCGACATGTTGACTTGGAAATTAAATGTTTGACAAATGTTGTGATGGTTGATGATGTATTAATTAATTCACATAATTAGTGATGTTTTGGCTGTTGTACTAATAAATTACTACGTGTATTTTATTCTAAAATGTATACGTAATATGATGTATCGTAAATTGTTGTAATAACCTTTTATGACACTATTACATAAAGTGCTACAGAAATATGATATTAACTATATTTATTAAATGAAATATGTATGCTATATCTCTACATAAATATAAAAATAATATAATATCTTTATATTCATTGATATATGTATTCATTCATACGCATTCCGCTATCATTGCAGTTTTACAAAATGAATAATGTATTCTAATTTTCTAAGTAATGTTAAAATGTGAGATCCCATAAAAATAAATTGATATATCTAAAAATACGTGTTTAATTTGTAGTAATTAATGAAAACTGCTTGTGTACGTAATATTCCCTAGCTAGACATTGCGAGAATCACGAAGCAAAGCCAAAGCGATACGAAATTAAATCTGCACTCTGCAGTAGTTATTCTAAGTCAGACCAGTCAGACTTCGAAAGACATCGAGCTAAAGAAAGTTAAATAATAAATAATATATAAATAAATAAAATAATAAATCATAAAGTATACAGGGTGTTAGGTAAATGGGTATATGAGCCGACACTAGTCCATGTTAACATGGTCATATAAATGGTATGGTGAAGTCAGAAAATCGATATCTTCATTTTAATTATTTTAATTTTCATACAAATCGGATTTTATTAAATTTATTTTGTATCACAATTAAAAAAAAAAGTGATGATATCAAATTTCTGACTTCACCATACCACTTATATGACCATGTTAACATGGGCTAGTGTCGGCTCATATACCCATTTACCTAACACCCTGTATAACAATAATAATAATGGGTCTTTTAGTGAGATGAGTGAACAAAATATAGTAGGCAAAGAAGTTGAAAAACACCCTATGCTATGATCTAAATATGATCTCGTGGTGAACAACTCAGTATAGCTGTTTTGCTTTAAGTGATACTTAAGTTTCAACTATATTATTAATTAAAAATGTTTTACATAGGTAAACTTAAAACTTAAAGGAAGGAGGCCTATGCGGTCAGCAAAAGTTATTAAAGTTTCTGTTTTTTTTTGGCAAAATCACAATCATTCAAGGCGAATGATTATGTAAAAAAAATTACAGACCACACTGACATGAAGCTTCATGCACACTGACAGATGGAATTCGGTAGTCTATAATGTTGCTAGTGTAGTGAAGTTTTCCCACATTACTGCATTTTTTAAAGTTTTAACAAAAAGGTTTTAACTTTTTTTTGAACTCAATTAGGTATAATAAATAACATAAGGATAAAAAAGTTGGTCTTTTTAGATTTTTGTAAATTTAATAATGGGATGGGAGTTGTGCACATGTGGTTAAAGCACAGGTTAAAGAAAGATCCATTTGCAAAACCTAATGCACAATATGCACCCACAGTCAATACGGAAAAGTGGAACAACAATCATTATCATGAATTCATGAATCATAAGTAGGTAGACGCACGCTTAGGCTCTCACCTGTAAAAAAAACCTTTGTTTTTATTTATTTATTTACAAGTCCCATTTGAAAAAAAAATCAAGTCTTATTATTGTTAAACTGCCCCTGTTCCGTGTTTCTTTTCCTGTCGTATTATAGGTACTTAAATAAATAAATAAATATCCTTGGACATTAAATTTTACACTGCGCTTCTAGTCCCAAACTAAGCAAAGCTTATACTATGGGTACTAGACAACGGATATAAACATACTTAAATACTTTTTTTTTGTAAATACATACATATTATACATAGAAAACAGCATTATACTTATTTTAATATAATGATTTAATTAAGAAAAAAAAGTGGGGTAAGTAAATGATTTCAAAAAGCAGTTTTAAGTGACACATCTGGCAATACCAATATTTTGCGCTGCTGATAATTTGCGAATTGCGATCATCGCGTGAAATAATTTTGAAATATCAAATGAATTTTCGTGCGTGTTTGTGCATTGTACGTTTGTTATTAGTTTAGATTTATCGAAAAATAATATTGTTGTGTAACTACCAAGTTAAATTGTGCGATTATGTGTTGCCGGACCATGACATGAGTGAACAAGAATTGTTTTAAAATTGTTTGAAAAAGTTCACGTCCACGATGGTGTTTGAGTCTATTGTGGTGGATGTGCTGAATAGGTTTCTGGGGGACTATGTGGAGAACTTGAACCGGTCTCAGCTGAAACTTGGCATATGGGGAGGTAAGGGTTTGGTTCCTTGCATGATGTCATACCCACTCAACCACATTGTTAGTGGTTATTTACGTCCACAATCATTGTTTTGCAGGCGACGTCGTGTTGGAAAACTTGATATTGAAACAAAATGCCCTGGAAGAGCTCAATATTCCAGTGCAAACAGTCTATGGACATTTAGGTGAGTGCTTGCAATGTTTTCATTTATAGATATAATAATTTATTTCCTAATTCATACTCTCTCAATACTCCTCTTAAAAAACTTAGCTAGGGCTGTGTTTTTCAGAGAAAACATAGCCCTAGCTAAGTTAACATATTTATATTGTTATTAGATTTTTTGTAAAAGTTAGCAATCTGATTAAAAAATTGTGACAGACTCATGTTGTTGTCAGCTATACTAATGCATGTCCTTGACGCTAACATACTATCTATACAATTGTTTTGCAGTTATCAGTAAGTTTTTAATGCAACACCATATTTTTTAGATTTGGTGTTTTTGTTCGAATGTCTTTGTTCTATTTGCAAATATTTGTTTAACAAATTATTGTGAAAATTAGGGCAATCCGTTTACATAAAAATTTTACATTTTATCGCCCTGTGAATATTATTCCACCCATATTTCTTTTAGGACAGTAAATAGGTCAATGTGATCTAAAGGCTGTGCTTATCTTGTTCCTCAGAAAAACTCACTCTGTTATGTTTGGTATTAGTTTATTTAAGTATTTATTAGGTATACATATACTACTGACAGTTGACAATCGAGTTTAAATTAATTAATTAGTCAGTAATAAATTGTCATTGACAGGCCGGTCACCAATCAATGGTGGTAACAGATTTGAAAGTGATTGGGACTTGGGATTATGATTAAATCTAATAAATAAAACGGATACTACAGTTTACACATACATATCCATTAAAAAAGTATGGTCTAGGATCTAGACTCTAGATCTATGTATGTGCACAATACAAACATTAATACAAACAAACACAGTCATCTGTATTGGCTTTGCTGTCTTATAATATTTATTATGCATATATTTACATAAGATAAAGTATAAACTTAAACATCTTAAATGAATACTTATCCTTTTTTTGCTACTCATGACTCAGATAATTATGCAACCATAAGTTATTGTTAAAAACCTATCTTGATTGTGCAGCCAGACATAGTCTCGAGTTTATCAGTATTATAACCTGTTTTCCTGTATCAGTCTGTCAGTCAGTCAAAAAATGATTTCATTAGCACACTTTTGTAACTGTCTGCCACAAGGTTATCACTCCACTTATAAGTATAGACAGAAGTATGTAATTGGTATATAATAAAGTTCAGGTCAGATGACATCATGCCCTCAAATCAGTGGCGCTGAATTCTGACAGCCAGTGAATTCCTCTGAATGTGAAGGTCACAGTCTGACCTCAGATTTATGTTAATGCTCCAATAAAAAAGATCTAAATAAAGATGTGACTCTTATCACTAGATTAAAAATGCAAAATAAAGAAGATTTTTTATAGTTGCGCGATGAGTCTTAGCGCCGCGCCGCCACAGTTTAAAGCATTGGTTCCCAAAGTGGGGGGCGCGCCCCTCAAGGGGGGCGCAAAGACCTTTAAAGGGGGGCGCGGGCCATCTGTAAGAAAGCTGCTGAGAGAATGCATTCCAGACTCCTCGATACGACCAATAAATAATCTTGACTGGAGGAGGGGGGGCGCGGAATTGTTTAAATATGGTCTAAGGCGATTATCACACTGCGCCGCGCTCCGTCGCGGTACGCGGGTCGACAGATTTAATCATTGTATACAAGTACCTCAGTTTGTATAGAAAACACGCGCGGCACAACACACTGACAACGTGTCTGCGCGCGGGATTTTTTATATCAAATCACGCGGACCGCGGCGGGGCGTGGTGCAGTGTGATAATCGTCTGAAGGGGGCGCGTCCCAAATAACTTTGGGAACCAATGGTTTAGAGGATTTGTCTTCATGCGTGCGGTGGCGATTAAGAATAAGGGCCGCTTTCCACTAAAGCGGAGACGAGTCATGGGTTTCTAACACTTCATGCCTAGACCCTAAGCAATCAATAGAAATCCTTTATTACAATTCACATTTCATACGTGCTCCGCTTCGCCTCCGCTTTAGTGGAAATAACTCAGCTACTTATGTCTCTCGCCTCCGTACGTGAAGACGACCCGAGATGTTGGAAAACAACCTTAGTTTAATGTTAAACTAGACATTTATCAACCCAGATTAAAAATGTTATTAACGCCATGCGCTATTTTGAAAACAAGGCAGGTTATCGTAATTTTTCCTATTTTTAGGATGACACTTTTATCTTTATTATGCTTATCCTTAGCCGATGTAAACAATATCTATGTACCTAGTTGTTTGTTTCGCGATGATATTTCGCGATATCTAATCTTTTGATTGCTGGTAGGCAATGTCTGGCGATGTGTTCTATATTTTAAAAAGCGATTAAGAACGAATAGAGGTGATAAGAAAATTTGCACAATCGTATCTACGTTATTATGCTATTCCCTTCCCTTAGCAGAGAAAGTTTGCTTGTGATAAACCACTGGCTATTTAAAGTTATCAGTAGTTACGCAATTTTATAATTAATTAGTATATCACACATTCACAATACGTTATAGACATGTAATGGCTTTACTAAACAATTACAGGCTTATTGAGTCATGCGGGAAGCCGATCGAAGACTAACTTTTATGACCTAGGCACGGCCGCTACGCTGTTGGCATACCAAAATTAGGAGTGTTTGCTTCACTACCCTGCTTATCAACAGCGTTTTCAATTAACGATTGACCTGGGGGCCGTCCATAAATTACGTCATCGATTTTTTCAGATTTTAGACCCCCCCCCCCCTACAATCATCCTATCGTCATTTCTTAATGACCCCCCCCCCTTCTCCCAAAATTGACGTCATTACCAGTTTGACAAAATTTGTGCGGCTTGAGGGGTTTTATCAAAATAACGTCTCTTCACAGCAGAAAACAATCGCTGGTGCACGTTTTGTAAGTCAATAACCATTAACCATTGCGGATCGACTATAGTAATAAATAGCAGTGAAAATAGTTTGCTGATTTTGTTTAACGAATTTGCGTTAAACGCGTGATGACAAAATCTGCGCGGATAAACGTGTTGCATCGTTCACGTTCGTACTCAGATTGACAGCGAGCGCAGGCCGCAGGTCCGCAGCGGTGGCGGTGCGCGCCTAGGGTTGCCAGGCGTCCGGCTTTAGCCGGACATGTTTGGCTTTTTAGGGTCTTGTCCGGCCTGTCCGGCTTTTGTTAGGCTTTTTATTTGGTTGCCGCACCAGGCGAAAGTCGAGCCACAGAATCATATGAAGCGCACGCATCAGGATGTTGGTTAGCAACCGATGATGATAGTACTCACTCATGAGCCCCCCCCNACTTACGGATAAAACATGATCCCATGCACTTTCTTCGTAATTCCAGTAGCATTCTTACATGTTGGAACGGCACAAGACGGCATAATTTAATTATAAAGTGTCAATCTGACGGATATGTAAACAATGCGCGCGCCGGCCATTGACTAATTGCTCTAAAGTCAAATTAGTGCGATTTGGAGTAATTTATATGAATACACATTTACGCCCGTTGACGGTTTCTGGTTTGTTCCGTATTCTGAGAGAAAAGGAGAAGCCACTATAGCCGAACGGTGAAGGGGTCGGACTGGCTGACTCGTGATCTGGGGAACGCGGGTTCGAATCCCGCTGCCGCTCGACTATAATTATTGTGGTGACCTCACTAGTTCGTGTCACAAGCATATTTAGCTTAGTACGAGGGGCTATTAGTAAGTTGTGCAAAAACAAATTACTAATAATCTTTAAAAAAAAATAAGCTTTTAACACCGGGTTTAGAAGATGCGGCTAACCGACTTGGTTTTCATTTATCGGTCGCCAGATGTATATGAATGTAAAGAAAAACAGAATGTTAAATCGTGCTGTTGTATTTGCACACGCAAATGAACCAAAGTAAAAAGAAAGAAACTTTCGTAAACTTTCCCAATTTGGAGCTTTGATGAAATAGAGCTATTTCCATTTTTTTATGAATGACAAGGCAGGTATTTGACCGCAGTCATTTTGCTGTGATAAAAAAAATCTTACTAAATTAACATTTCAATCTCCTATTTTTTTAGATGATAACAAACTTGATGAAACCTTCGTCGAGAAGTTAGTGACACAAATTATTAAAAATGTGCAACTCAAGATTACTGACATACACATACGCTATGAGGATAGCATAACAAACCCGAAGGCGCCTTTCTCCTTTGGGATAACGTTGCACAATCTGTCCGTCCATACAACCGATGAAAATTGGAAGCAAACGATCATACAAGAAGCTGTTACTAAGATCTTCAAGGTATAGTATTTTTTTTTTAATAATACTGGTTTAAAATTATCATCGGAAGCTCCTTTATTATCCTTTTAGCGTGACTTTAGACAATTAACTTTTCTTACCAGCTAATTTTAGCTTGAGTTTATCATGACATAAATAACCTACGTCAACTAATGAACCATCGAAATAATCTCACGTAAAAAAGTACCTTATAATAATATTATGACATTGACTATGTTTTTTTCAGGTATTGAATTTGGAAGGGCTCGCCATATACTGGAATCCCGCAACGGAATTATATTCAAGATCAACCCCACAAGATATCAAGACTCGTCTCGAGACGGAGATAGCTACGAAGACATCACAACCTTCTTTCTATAAATATGGTAACATATTATTTAGATTCAATAAGTTCACTTGCTGTATTTGGTACTAAAAATTTTGCCTAATTGGATTGTTTTTTTTTCAGCATTGGGCCCAATAAATGCCACTGCAAAATTACAACTAAATCCGAAACCTGAGGGCGATACTCCAAAGTTTAGCATACCCAAAGTTATTTTAAGTTTACACATGGAACAGCTGTCAGTCAGCTTGACCAAAAGTCAATACCAAGATATGATGCTACTAGCTGACTCTATGGACAGAATGAGCAAAGGCGTGCCATACAGGTATGCTAATTGAGTTCAAACATCGCATCTTAATTGACCATTTTAACGTGGTCTTTGTATAGTGTCTGCAGTTATTAATAGAAGGACCAGAGTATGCTGGTTATTATGCAGAGTAGTGTCTGATGCGTTGAGTTAATTTGGGTCAGAGGTGTTTGATAAATACGATTGATTCATGCGTTAAGAATCTACATTGTTGTATGCATTAGGTAACACACGATTACGTATTGTCTCCTCTTTCGATAATCTTTTTATTCATATTCTTATTGAGAGGAAATGTCGCCAATCTTTTACCTTGGACGCCGGCCAGGAAAGGCTAACGAACTCTTGTTACATTTGCTGAAAGGCTAATGCAGTGGAAATAAATGTTTTGCGCTAAAGGCTTCTTGATTTGTTTCCCTGTAATTCTCAGCTGCCTCGTTTACTTTAAGAAATTATTTCGTTTCCACACAGAATCTGTATGGGCCAAATAGCAATGTCAAAAATGTTTTATTCAGCTTCAAGTTAGCTGTAGGAAAATTTAATGTCTAAATTGATACATGATCCAATGTGTTCTTTAAGATAATAGGAATTAGGATGAAGCCAAACTATCGTAATTTGAGTCACGTTATTTACACTGTATTGGATTCCATGCAAAAGTGCGGTTTAAGCCACGGAGGATTATTTGGCTTAGCATTGGATATATTAGGAACTTATAAAATAACATACGTAATGATTGATCGAGTTAATGTCAAAATTTTCCATCGCGAGGGGTGTATTAAATGAGTAAACCAACTAGGGTGGCACTAGCCAGCATAGATTTTATGAAGTGCCATGTTAGCCGTCTGACATAAATGTTTCTGTGTCTGGTTCATTTCATTTCATATCTGGTTGATTTCAGCCTCTCAAACAAAAAACAATCACAAAAAAACCATTGTGTGATTGTTCTTTGTTTTTCTTTCGTTATCAATAACACTAATATTATTCCCCCAGAAAATACCGTCCAGACCTGAAGAGCTACAAAGGCCACTACAAGGAATGGTGGAAGTTCGCTTACACCTGCATCTTGGAAGAAGAAGTCCGCCGTCGTAGACGCAATTGGGACTGGACCCACATGCTATCCCATAGGAACCTTTGCAAGAGCTATGCTACTGCGTACCAAACGAAATTGAGCAGCAAAGGGAAGGTGGCTGCGGACCAACAGATAGTCCTGGATAAGGCTGAGAAGACCCTGGATTTGTTGAACTTGGTCGTCATTCGGCAGAGGATAGAGATGGAGGTTTGTAAAAAGATTTGAAGTTTTATAGATACTTTTATCCTGATACTTAGTCTGATAAAATTGATTTGAAATGGTTTTAATAGTTACTAAACTACGGATGTAAAATACAGTTGAAAAAATGCATAAGTGAACTCAGACCATAGTCTAAATTTTTAAGTGAGTAGGTAGTCTGTCTGTATCTGGCTAATCTGTATTTGTTAGTTTCTTTTTTATCCTACAAATATGTACTTACTGTGTGGACTTTTTCGTTAGGTGGAAAGGTTAGGAAAATTGGAAGAGGAGGCGAAGAAATCTCGAGGTTGGTTCAGTGGATGGTGGGGAGGCGGGTCCAAGGAGGAGGAGCTTGAAGAAGGCACTGCCATAAGTAAGTGACATGATTAATCTGTATGCGGCTCATGATTATTGTTTAAACTCCTTGCATTCATAGACTAAAGAAAATTGCATTTATAACAGGAATCACGAACAAAATACTATGTAATTTAGTGTGTCGTCCATTACCAGTCACTAGTAACTTTGAACAAGTTTTAATTTGCCTTTTAACATGCAACGTTTAACGTTGACTGATTCTATTTCAACTGTATTACAGTGAAGCAGTTCGAGAAAGCGATGACGTCAGAAGAGAAAGAAAAGCTCTTCCGTGCCATAGACTACCAAGAGAACTCGGCGCCGCTCCATCTACCCACGGAATATGTGGCTCTTGAGACACATTTCCGCCTCGACCGATTACAAGTGGCTGTCAATGACGTCGCCGAAGTTCTGAAGGCGTGTGTAGACAATGTCGTGGTGGATATGAAGCAGCGGCCCAGTGCTAATGCCTTGAGGTAAGTTGATTTTGAATTTGAACCTTAGGATAGGGAAATAAGATTCAGAATAAGAATAAGTGTGCTGCTTACACCTACCCACGGAATATGTGGCTCTGGCGACACATTTCCGCCTCGACCGATTACAAGTGGCTGTCAATGACGTCGCCGAAGTTCTGAAGGCGTGTGTAGACAATGTCGTGGTGGATATGAAGCAGCGGCCCAGTGCTAATGCCTTGAGGTAAGTTAATTTTGAATTTGAACCTTAGGATAGCGAAATAAGATTCAGAATAAGAATAAGTGTGCTGCTTACACGTACCCACGGAATATGTGGCTCTGGAGACACATTTCCGCCTCGACCGATTACAAGTGGCGGTCAATGACATCTCCGAAGTTTTGAAGGCGTGTGTAGACAATGTCGTAGTGGATATGAAACAGCGGCCCAGTGCTAACGCCTTGAGGTAAGTTGATTTTGAATTTGAACCTTAGGATAGCGAAATAAGATTCAGAATAAGAATACGTGTGCTGCTTACCCACGGAATACGTGGCTCTTGAGACACATTTCCGCCTCGACCGATTACAAGTGGCTGTCAATGACGTCGCCGAAGTTCTGAAGGCGTGTGTAGAAAATGTCGTGGTGGATATGAAACAGCGGCCCAGTGCTAACGCCTTGAGGTAAGAGTTGATTTTGAATTTGAACCTTAGGATAGGGAAATAAGATCCAGAATAAGAATAAGTGTGCTGCTTACACCTACCCACGGAGTATGTGGCTCTTGAGACACATTTCCGCCTCGACCGATTACAAGTGGCGGTCAATGACACCGCCGAAGTTCTGAAGGCGTGTGTAGACAATGTCGTGGTGGATATGAAACAGCGGCCCAGTGCTAATGCCTTGAGGTAAGAGTTGATTTTGAACTTTAGGATAGGGAAATAAGAATCAAAAGTAAGGTACATTTGCGGACGGAGTACCTATGTGACTGGAGACACATTTCTGCCTTGATTAATTTGGAAGGTTCATTCAAAAATTGTCCAATATCCTATAGGATTTTCTTAAGACTCTTCCACGTAAAAAATACACTCGAAGTAAAAGTGAATATAATATATTTCCTCTTATTTACGTATAGGGTTTCGTTGTTATACGTGTTAGTTTTCTACTTTTACACTATATGAATAAATTTTATTTTCAAGGATGGACGTTTACACTATATGCATATATTTTCAAGGGTGGACGTTCAAATGCAAGCCTTCACTGTGACGGGTGTGCAGCAGGGTGACTTCGAGCCTCAGTTGGTGGTCTCCAAAGAGGTCACTAAAGACGTTAACCTACTTAACGTCATCTTCGAGAAAAATCCTCTAGGTGAGTAGAGGAAAGGAAGGGATAAGTATAGGTATTTGGCATTTTCCAGCAACGTTAATAGTGTCAATAGAAACGATCCGCGATAACCGAGATCTTAGTTTTTTTTTTCAAAACCTTTACTATTGCAGTTTTCAATTCAAAACTGCCGTTTTCTTACATCTTTGTTGCTTTCTTTTTATCGAGGATCGTCAGTCTGACTCAATTTTCGTTCTATATTCAAAGTTTTTTTTCACAGATGGCGCTTGCGACCAAAGAGTCAAAGTGTCTGCGCGCCCACTGCAAATAGTGTACGACGCTCAAACTGTCATAGAGATCGTTAACGTATTCAAGCCTCCCAGCGAATCCACAGCTTTGACTACGTAAGTTGTATTTAGATTTTACTACATATTGTTATGGCTTGATGATCCAAAATTGCTTGCATACCATTTCAATGGTATATGTTGCAATTTTTTATGGATGCAAGATTTTTTACACAAAAGCATAATTATCGTTTCAAAATGGCACCCATTGCAACTATATTAAGTGTCAATATCCTAGTTTGATGTCCCAGCTGTTGTATCTTACTCCAATGTATTATTTTCCTATACCTAACAAAAAAAAAAATACATTTAGCAGCGATGGTCAGCTCATAATTCTGACACCGTAGTAGGGTGTTCACAGCCCAAACAAAAGGATCAGAATTTTGAGAATCATTTGTCAAATTATACACCACTAAATTTTAATCACCGAAAAAAAAAATTCTGGTTAATGAGTTATTGATACTGATCCCATTTGTGCAAAAAAAAAGAGTAAAATACAGTGACTTAAAATATCCTCCTAAAATTGGTAATTTATTGACACACGCGTCGCTAGCACTATTTACGTACGATAATGTAACACTTATTAGAATTCCAAAAGGGTCTAAGTTAGCTAAGTATGTAATAATAACACTGGAAGCGTGATCGAGGCGTGAGCGAGACAGACAGATCGATGCAACGTGCGAGCGCGTACGACTACTCTAGCGAGCAGCGGAGTGACCCAGCTGTGACGCGTAAAATACGGACTAAAGAAAATTTAATAAAAAAAACAACTTTATGAAAAACATTTATTTTTCTTTTGCTTTAAATTTTTCACACGTTTCTACATAACCTGTTAAAATTTTTTCGGTGATAAAAATTTAGTGGTGTATTAATCTTGCAGGTTGCAAGCAGCTGCCGGCAACAAACTGACAGAGATGAAAGAGAAGTCTGCGCTAGGCATGCAGTATGCTGTGCATCACCACACGTTCATAGACTTGGACGTCGATATCGCAGCCTCGTACATTATTGTGCCGCAAACGGGAAAGTATAAAGGGTATGTATGTCTACATCTATTATTAATTACAGACTTGAACTTAACTACATAGATCAGATTCATAAATAAAATTTCTCAATTAAGTTTTCAAAATCCGGCTCGAAGGACCACCGACAAAAAACAACGTATAATTAAAAAATAAAACTATTTTTTTACAGAATGAAATTCACACAAGCGCTGTGCGAAATAAATTACATTTCGCGCCGTTTATTGGCATTAAATTGTACTATAAATTAATATTTTATGGCAAAATAGGACGCAGAAGCTTAGGCAATATTCGATATGAATGTTGGTTTCGATACTTTATCATTAGACGGCTATAGTATTTAAACCTTTTATGATTGTTCTTTATGCAGTGACGAGGCGTGTGTAGTGGTGAAGCTCGGTGCTATAAGCGTGAAATCGGAGCCGCGAGCTCTTATTCATTACAAACTTGAACTCTACTACATAGATCAGATTCGTAAATAAAATTTCTCAACTAAGTTTTAAAAATCCGGCTCGAAGGACCACCGACAATAAAACCAACGTATTGACATTAAATTGTACCATAAATTAATATTTTATGGCAAAATAGTTAGGACGCAGAAGTAAGCTCTACACTTGTTACAATTTTTTCAATATTCGATATGAATGTTGGTCTCGATACTTTATCATTAGACGGCTATAGCACAAAATATAACAGAAGGTAAACTCGTGTATGTACCTCGCTTTGCATACCTCTCTCGCTCGCACGCTCGGCCGTCGCGCTAGGGTTGTCTTGTCATGTGTTGCGTTTATTTCGATAAGATAGAAAAATGTTACTCTTAATACTATGCAAGAAAGACAATAACAAATATCCACGTATACTTATTTATATTTAGTACGTTATTATAGTAATAGTTTGCAAACAAATACACGAGAAGGAAGTAGTATTTAGTTGAGTGACACTATTATCCAACTAATATTATAAATGCGAAAGTTTGGATGTCTGGATGTTTGTTGCTCTTTCACGCAAAAATTACTGAACGGATTTTGATGNAGTGATTCTTAAGGAAGGTTTATATGTATAATACATGTAAGTAACACGGGCGAAGCCGGGGCGGGCAGGTAGTATTATATGTAATATTATTGTTAGAGTATTTTATCTGTAGTTATTACTGTATTTGTGTACATCTATGTTGCATTGTATGTTTATTATGAGTTATTTTAGTATTGTACGCGCCTTAGCCGCCTCTCACATTTGCAGTCTCACTTACTAGGTGTGCTGGAAGAAATTTCTTTTTAGAAATAATCTTTTTGAACTATAAATAAATAAATAAGAATGACGTCATTTTCCAAACCCCCCCCCCCTATCTATCATTTACCGTCATCCGCAGACCAACCCCCCCCCCCTAATTTAGAATGACGTAATATATGGACGGCCCCCTGCGAAATTAGCCTACTTATAATATGACTCATATTACGTGTCTTCGCATTATGAAATTAAAGTTCAATATCGTTCATCAGGCAACTTATCGCGATTTATCATTTTTTAGCACCTCTGTCTAGCAACAATAACAAAAAACTAATAATATCAGCTCTACATCATAGTAATCATTTAAACTTTACACATCATAGCATTTTTTTAAACTGTTATAGCATATTAAATATTTATTGTAACTGCGCACTTTGATTCACATTTTCTATTAACAGGAACATAAAATTTTATAATAATGGATTTGAATATAAAATATTTAGTGAATACGATAAGAGAACAAAGGATAAATCTGCATTATATTTATTTATAGTACATTAAACTTTTCATTTTCCTTATCAGGCAAACTAGTACTTAAAATACCATGGAAGAATCTTTATGGGGCGTCGGTGGAGGCGACAGTGGACCGGTTGTTTCTGATCGTCAACCCTACGGCTGAGATCAAGTATGACCCTGAGAAGGAAGAAAAGATGGCGCTGGCCTCCAAGCAAGCTGAGCTTGCTAGGGTCGAGGAGGCAAAGAAGATGGAGGCTACAAAAGGTAAAGAGAAAGAGAGAGAATTAAGGCGATTAGAGTCCTCAATCCGCGTCAAATGGGCATTTTGTAAAGTCTACTCCTCTTTTACTGCAGGACAGAAATAGTTGAAAAAAATATATGTTATACAACAGTTCAAGGACTACATTTGTGACGTTTGAATTTTCGCTACGTCTCTTTGTTTTGGATTAAAAAAATAAATACGGGACATCGATTTTTTACTTAAATTCCCTAATCCTCCAAAACGGCTATGTTAATTTAAAAGATTTTTGCACGAATAGATTNTATAATACGACTTTTTCTGTTCACTCATTTTCGTCAATTTCGCAAAACAAAATAATATCACAGGCGGTTGACCGGCGCGTGACTCAAGCGAACCACAGCGAACGTGTGGCGAACGTCTGTCGCGCCACGTCGCGCTCGCATTCGTCCAAGACAGTCTTGCTAGAGCGGTGTTCTATGTGTGCGTGGCTCGAGCGCGTTTAGTATGGAGTTTGTCTTCTGTTATATTTTGTGGCTATAGTATTTACCCCGAACCTTTTATGATTATTCTTTATGCAGTGACGAGGCGTGCGTAGTGGTCAAGCTCGGTGCTATAAGCGTGAAGTCGGAACCGCGAGCTCAGGAGTTGGACGTGAGGAAGCTTTACAAGGAAGGACTGGCTGATGAGGACATCCTGAAGGCCATCACGCACCACAGCTATGACAAGATGGCGCTGGAACTCACGGAAATGCAGGTAAGGAAAAAGAGGTTGTCTATGGTTTTCGTGTGCGAATGACCGCAAGCGTCTGTATCGAAAAATAGTATGAGCAGCGTATGCGTTTCGGGCAACCCCGTTTTGTTAGAGGCAGATATTTCTGAAAAAAAAAAACACCAGTGTTTATGATGCAGTGTTTTTATGATATTTTTCTCCCGCAAACTACCAAGCTACCACAAAAAACAGCAAGCGAGAGAAACTGGCAAATATTGTTTACTTAATTTTTAAAAATGATATTTTTGCATTTGTAATAGGTATAACGCGCCTTATAAGATACCAGTCTCATACACATTTTTTTTTTCAGATTGTAATAGCAACCTCGAAAGAAGACTGGCAGTCGGCCATAGTGTCAAACGAAGCCACGCCTCTCCACTTGCTGCAACCTACCAACTTAGTGATACAAATCCACAAGTGCCTCATCACAGACGACCCTCGTCTACCTAAGATTAAAGTGAGGGGTGAATTGCAGAAGATCGCTATTAGTGCTTCGGAAGACAGGTGAGTTAGTTAATAATACTACGTACAGAAGTTTTACTTCGCAAAGGTATTTAAAAAAAAAATGCTCAATGTCATTAACAATATGGTGTAATTTAGCCTGTCTCAAGAGTCAAGCACCATTTTGTTGACAAACGTCAGTGATCGGCACTGCGCCGGATCTATAGGGCTGACTTCGGTAAAATGATGTGACGTGAGGTGCCAAACTGCGGAAAATGGCGGAGGAAATACATGATTTAGCATGAATTATCATGAATAATATTAACTACTTATTTACCTCTTAGTGTCTTGAGGCAACTTAAAAAAGTACATTCTGTGTTTTTATTATTATTTATCATACACAAGAATACGCGTGCGTGAGTCAATGTTCGCTCGTATGTGAGGCCTTGTCGAATAGTATCCTGTAGGTGGGCCATCGTGCGTGTTTTGTTTTCGATGTAAACTCGCGGAGATGAACAGGCCTGGTTATAGTCTAAAGCCCGGTCTGTGAGCACGTAGAATTTTGCCCAATGACTCCAAGCTACCCATCCTTATCGCTCGCGCGTAATTATATTGCTGTCGCGTCTGTGCGACGGGCGACTGCAGTAAGTGTGCGAGCGCGACAGCAACATAATTACGCGCGAGCGATAAGGATGGGTAGCTTGGGGTCATTGGACAAAATTCTACGTGCTCACGGATCAGTGGCAAGGCAGGTTTGCTGCTTGCTGCTCTATGGCTGATTAATTATTTTGAGCGCGTTACTTTAAATAACAAAGAATGTACTTAACTATATGTTTTTTACAGGTTGTTAACACTATGCGAAATAATAGTAAGCATGCCCCTTCCAAACTCTGAGGAAGCCGTTGCACTAAAGGTAAATTAGCAACAATTTTCATATTTAACTTTTTGTTCTGTTGTTTTTCATTTATTTAATTTTTATTCAAAGATATTTTGCGTCAAGTTTGCGTATACTATAAGTGGCAAAGTGATCGAAGCTCAGTATGTTTCGGTACCCGAAGTAACAGAGGATATAACTGGGGTAAATCCAGAATATAGATTGAAATTAATTAGTTGTATTTAATTCGACACATGTAGCGCTTATAGTACGTATTATAAAATACAAATTAACCACAATTTGATTTTTTGTAGTTAATTATGGTTCATAAAATTATCATTCATCAAATTGTGTAAATTATTTCATCGTCTGTCGTGTCATTTACAATTATGCGTAAACGAAGTAATTTCGAAAGAAGAGAAAATGTTATATTGTAAAATTTTCGTTTAATTATGAGTACTATTTTATAGTTCCAGTTGTTAAATTCAAGTTAGATTAAGTAATAATTTTGGCAATAAAGTTTATTTAATTATCGTTTTGTATCTCAAATAACAAGCCAGATGATTTAAATTACTATAATATTTTCAGCCAAGTGAATCAAAGGGATCTAGTCTATCGTTGTTGAGGTATTTGGACCCGGCGGAGAAACAGAAGCGCGACATCGCGCGCTCCAACCAAAGGGACCCCGAGGAGCAATCGCTGCAGTTAACTGAAGTGGACGCTGTGTTTATTATGAAAGGTGTGTGTTATGTTACAGGAGTGTTTTTTTTAAATTTTGCAGACGGCAACTTTGCGGAATGGATATAAGGAGTAGTCAATTGACTGAGTCTTCAAAGCCACTAAAAATTGTAAGACTTTACAGAATATCAAAAACTAACTGCTTTCAGGGCTATAAAAATGTTTTTAAAGCAATTTTATCTTGGAATTATTGGTGTCAAGTACCCAATTTAGTTTCCATTTTATAAAGGATTGTTCGTACAAAAATATTTAGTGGAACTAATAGTTTAGCTAGACGCACAATAAGATCTTGGTGTGCCCTACATCATACAAAGATAGGTATTTTAAAGTGATAATTGGATCAATTTATTAATTCAATAAAAATCCTCCACAGAACTAGTTCTCAGCGTCAACCGAAAGACGCTTCACGCGACAAACGGGTACGACAAATTCCTCGTGTTCTCGCTCAACCAGTTAAAACTGACGGTCGTACAAAAGACGTTCAACCTGGACGCCACCGTTCGTCTGGGGGCTGTCAATATGCAGCACCACAGAGCTGGGTATAAAGTCATCAATATGATCGAAACGCCAGACGTCTTGACTGAGGATAAGGAAACGCCTAACAACCAGTATCTCTTCGCTGTCACTTATAGTAACGTAAGTAATCTTTGATCCATCATCATTATTAAAATCTACAGCTTTATAAACCTAGAGGAAAAAAGCGCCAAATTGAACTGCTGTAATCTTAGATAACGGCAGGTCGTTTAGACTTCACAGTAGGAGCACGATTCTCTCTTATTTACCAGAGGCAGGGCTTACAGTTCTACACTCCTTATCTCACATATTATTATGGATTTAATAAAGACTTACCTCCTGCTATTTATAATCTGTCAAAATAATTATTTTTCGTACAGGAATTAGGCTAACTGAGAGCGGAAAAGAGTGGTTATTCAAAACACTTCTCCGCTCCGCTTCGCACTGCTCCGCTTTGGTGCAAACCGGGCTTTACAGCGTTATGACGTCATTGTTTTTTGGGCGTCAACTGACCGAATCATTAATTATTAAAAACGTATCTTAACTTTTTTCAAGTTATCTTGTTCTGTAATTTTTTACACAAATACATTTTTATCCTCAAAATGTTTTCAGGTGGACAAGAAATGTCCAGAATTCAGAAGTATCTACGGATCAGTGGAACAGCTGATTGATATGGACTTCACTAACTTGAAAGTACTCCTTCATTTGCAAGGGTTGCAAGAGATTTTAGTGATTGTCAACGAGTATCAGGTAAAAACCGTCGCCTGTGATGCAAGAATAGTCTTTATGTGCTGGATTGGCAGGTTTAATTTATTTTTCATTATTTTAGACAAGGTTGCAAGCAATTCAAAGTACGGTCGACAGAACAGCAAATGCAGGACCTCTAGAAACTATTATGGAGGATGAAGAGTTCATAGCTGCGAAATCTAAAGGTAAGATATCGACCTTATCGATAAAGTTATAAGAACTACTTTTTACAAATTAATTTCTTCAACATTCACACTTTAATTTTTCTCCACAGTGAGCGTCACAAAACCTTCGCGCCGCAAGCAAGTGGAAAGCATCCAACTGAAAGTGAACATTAAGATCGGGGCCATAGAGATCGGATTCGCAAACAACAAGCGGCCGCTGTCCGTGATCCAAGTGACGAGGGCCACCACAGGCTTGGTCATGAAGACTTCATATACCCAAGTAGACTGCGCTATTGGGTCAATCAAAGTCGAGGATTTGAATCCAGACACTATTCATAGGGAGGTAAGAGTCAAAGTTATACAGGGTGTTAGGTAAATGGGTATATGCCGACACTAGCCCATGTTAACATGGGCATATAAATGGTATGGTGAAGTCAGAAAATTGATATCTTTATTTTAATTATTTTAATTTTCATACAAATCGGATTTTATAAAATTTATTTTGTATGAAAATTAAAAAAAATAAAATGATGATATCAAATTTCTGACTTCACCATACCATTNTGAAGTCAGAAAATTGATATCTTTATTTTAATTATTTTAATTTTCATACAAATCGGATTTTATAAAATTTATTTTGTATGAAAATTAAAAAAAATAAAATGATGATATCAAATTTCTGACTTCACCATACCATTTATATGCCCATGTTAGCATGGGCTATTGTCGACTCATATACCCATTTACCTAACACCCTGTATAAATGGTCTCACTAAACGCTCCAAATAAAATCTGTTTATTTCATTACCATCTTTTCTACAGCCAAGTAAAAAGCTATAACTTCATCCTTTTTTTTTCAGATACTCAAAGTAATCAGCGGCGACGTGATGAACGTTCAAATAGTGATGTACAATTTAGATCAATACCCATCTGTGAGTGATGTGAACATGTCGATAGACGCGCAAATCAACTGTTTACGCATCATATTCCTCAACTGGTTCGTGAGTTCTATGCTGGTAAGTACTATTTTAATATAATATTGTGTTGAAAATCATCAACTTTTGAGCAGCATAGAATTATAGGCGTGAATCATTCAAATGTTGCAAGATGCAAAGTTACCTTATCTTTGTGTCTTTTTTACTTCGTCAGTTGCAGGTTTTCACTGTTTTGACATGTTTTTGAACGATGACACGTTTCTTGTTATATGTTCCAAAATATCTACAAAAGCTGTTATTTATTCTAGGAATTCCTAAACAACTTCCAAACGGCGCAACAAGCGATCATCGACGCCTCGTCTCAGGCGGCCGACGCGGCTCGCGCTAACGTTCAAAACGCTTATCAGAACTCCACCAAACTGGCATTGAAAGTCCGGTTGGCAGCGCCCATTATTATCGTCCCAGAGAACTCGCATAGCCTCAACGCTATGCTTGTGGATTTGGGTAGAATGAGCCTGAATAACAAGTTCGTCGATCTGCCTGTTGCTGTAAGTATACATTAATAGGAATAATAGAGAAAATTAATGTTTTTAAGTGAAAATGTGTCTATAGAAATTTTAGAAAATATTATTTAGAAAATTTAATTACTTGAGCCTATAAGAATTGGTTAGTTAATCCCAACCGCGCTAGTTTTTCATATTAGTGTTCTGCAAAACTCATTCAGAATATTCCATTGACTTGACTGAAACAGCGGAGAGTATCGCTCTCCGCTGTTTCAGTCATGTAATTTCATCGAAATCCTAAGCATACAGACGACAAGACCGTATTAAACAAAACTTGTATCTGTTGAATAATTTATTTTTATTTTGAAACGTCAGTTTCAGTTTGTTTTTTGACACATTTTGACTGTCTGCTTTCCCACAGGATGTCAGCAACAAAGTGACAGTAGACGAGCTGACCCTCGAGTTGGAAGACATGAAATTATCCTGCGTACAACTCAACGAAGAATTAGCGATTCAGCAGGAGAGGAAACTCCTTCGGCCGACCAGCTTCAAGCTGTTTGTCAAGAGGAGTCTCTCCGCGTGGTACGAGACATTGCCCGATCTTGACATCTCGGGGCGTATGAAGACTATCGCTGTAAGTAGACTCCTATAGGACTTTTTTTATAGCTGACCAAACAAGAAAGGTTGATGCTACGACTCAAATCAAATACCACTACTTTTTCTCAGGACCAATTTCAAATTCTGAAACAAATTGTCATCTCCATATTAAATGATTGACTGAATGATGTTTTGATTTACGGTATGATAGGAAAAACTACAGTTCTACATTGTTATAGGACAAACAGGTTCTTTATTTCCTATTGGGTACAATATTGCTCAGATGACACATATTGGTTTTAATCTTAAGTTGCAGGAGGATCATTACCTAGATTTCTATGGTATTTTTCTACCTAATTAATTTTGATTTATTATTTTCGATATTCCTAGATAACAGTAGGCCACAGCGACTACAAGAGTATAATGAAGATACTGAACCAGAATCTCCAAGAGGGCCAAACGAAATCAGAGGAGTCCAAACCTAAACAGGACGTGTCTAAAGTGGTCTCTAAGGCCACAGTCAAGAGCCAAACTAGCAAAGTGCAGACGAAGTCCACGGTTGCCGTGGTGACGTCCAAAGATGCGAAGAAACCAAGGACTACTATCAAGTTCTCGTTTACAATGGACAGCTTCGTTATTGACTTGATGAATACCATTAGCGTGAGTATGATTTCAATTCAATACTGATATAAATGTAATATTATTTCTTTACAGCAAAGTCCTATTCCCTTTTTTTAGATTATACAGAATTAATCGATTTGGGACTGATCTTAGATGTTGCCTGCATCAGGACCTGTGCTTTAAAACAAACGCGTAAAACTGAATTCAAACTCGAGTATAAGTTTAATTTGAATATTTAGTTTGACCAATCTCAAGCTCGAATAAATGCATACTGTATCTTCGTTTTAGAACGGTCGTTTTAAAACAAATTGCCTTTTGTTATTACACGTTCACAAAAGTTTTAACATATTTTGATTCTAACCTATAGTCCGAAGACGCCATGTTCTCGAAAGACATAGAACTAGCCAGGTTCTGCCTCGCACTCCTGTCGGTCAAAGGAAGGATGTTCTCCGACAATTCCATGCACACGTCTGTGTTGCTAGTTGACTGTACACTCGACGACACCAGGCCGGGAAGAGGCGCTAAGATTACAAGGTAATGTAATACCTCAGTGCATACTAGGGATGTTATGGATATCCGTAACCGTAACCGAAACTTTCGGATATCCGAAATAAAAAAATATCCGTAACCGTAACCGAAACCGGTAATATTATTCCTATATCTGTAACCGTATCCATAACCGAAACTACCATCCATAACATCCCTAGTGTATACTCGAAGTTGGTCGAAGTAAATCGAAATAGCGTAGACACGCACTTCACTTCTCTTCGAGCAACTTTTGTTGATAAAAGGCCCGAGCCTGACGGTCTGACCACACTACTCAGTTAAAGGTGGCTAAAGGTTCAAAAGAAAGAAGTTACGCGTAAAGACGTTAAGCTTAGATATTGATGTCATCTACGACAATGAATTATGCGTGTTATAACGACGATATTCAAACTTTATTTGCCTTACTACTATTTCTACTACAGCAGTGCTCTAACAGAGGAAATACTTTATTGAAAATTATTTATTAGGTATCTCGAGAGACGAAGAGAGAGGACTGAATCAAGATCCGAATACGCGATGGACGAAACTCGGGGCGCCATTATGGAAGCGCACGACAAGATACGCAGCATGATCGACATCACCTACACCATGAAGAACTCGGATACTTTTAGTGAGTGATTAAAAAATTACATCTTCAACTACAGACTACCTAACTTCCCGGTCTTTTTGGCACAGGGCACTTAAAATCTATTTTATTTTTCTGATTTTTCTTTTTTGTTTTTTCTATGTTTTAATCTTGTATTGTGCCTTTATCATGTATTGTTTATTGTGCCAAATAAATAATATTCTATTCTATTCTATTATTAAATTTAACAATTATACGCATGGTTCCGGCAGAATAGAATAGGACCACCCGGGCACCCCCACTCTTTCGTGTCGTAATAAATATGCAAACATCAACCCTCCCTAATCCGTCTAGCCAGGGTGGCGAGTAGAGATGAGACGTATTTACTAGAACAGATCCACACACTAGGTATTTTACAGTACTAGGCGGAACCTATTCCATTTTTTAAAATACTTGATCCACCTAGTATTTTATAAATTACACGATTTCCGACCCTACCCTGAAAGTAATAGAGGTTATTATTGCGTAATCCGTAGTCGTGTATTACGCGCACCTAGTATTTCTCGCTAAGCTTATGTGCGAACGTAGAGATTCACTCCGTCTCTGTCTGACCAAACAAATTTGAGCGCGACGAAGCAAACGCACACAAACGTAGTCAAACCATATTCATGTAAATAAGAAAAAAATATGTAAATATTTGTATGAAATTGATATCTTTTAAATACGCCAACTTTTAAGTTGACAGTCCAAAGCCTGTTGAAGTATGAAGGGAGGAATTATTATTAAATTTCAAATTGCATTATTCATACTACGGTTGTATCTTTTCAAAGAAAATTGTATTTTAAAGTCATATTACTTGGATTAGTCCGCACTAGTCGCGTCAAGTATGCTAAATTACTACGTACTAGGTGGAACAGGTATTTGGATCGAGTATTAATAAATACTTGGAATAGGTGCACCTAGTATCAAATTTACCTAGTATAACCCATCTCTAGTGGCGAGTGTAGACCAAATCTTCTATTTGCCTCTTGTTAAATTAGAGAGGGCGTGCTCCTGCAATGATGATGATGACGCGTTGTGTTATGACTGTTATACAAACGGTTTAGGTTTGAGTTTTCTGTTTTCAATTAAACATTTAACTCTCAAAAAAGATCTGTCTAAAACGTGCCACTTATAACCGGCTTTGATAAGAAATCATTCAATTTACAGTCGACATGAGAATCTTCAGTTTCAACCTGATCCTCGCGATGGACTTCCTCAACAAGATCATGGAGTTCCTGACAGTCGGATTGGCGGCCGACGCGCCCGCCGCTGGGAAACCTAAAGAAGACCTGAAGGTGGTCAAGTCGGTCACTGACAAGTCTGGCGAAGGCATGTCTGTAAGTAATTGTTAAGATTTTAACATTTTTGCTCTTAACATTTTTTCCAGAACAAGGAAGCTCGAACTGCATATAATCTTCTGATGGAAAGTTATGATCAAGAAACGAGTTTCGCCCGGAATCCTTCGGAATTCCTGTCACATAAAAAATACCTTTACTTCCACAGAGGAGCTATCTTACTTTACCCTGTAACAATGCTGTAAACCTTATTTTACTCACTTGAGGTAGTCGACCTTTTCTAGTTTTAAAATTAAGTTCATTGATACAAACACTGCCCATATAAAGTAAACTGCATTTATATTTTACTTGTAAACAGAAAAAGAAATTGTCGGTGGTATCGGCGCCGTCGTTGGAACAGCCTCAGAAGACGTCGATGATGACAGTCAACGTCAAGATAGAACAGCCGGACATCATTCTTGTTGAGTCGCTGGAGCAGAAGAAGTGCGACGCTCTTGTATTGAACGTAAGTTATTATTATTCTTTACTAGCTTTCCGCCCGCGTGGAATTTTGCCTGTCACAGAAAAACAATATCGCGCGCGTATTTACTCACCATTTAGACCTACCCTGGACTACGACAAACATTTTAAAACCAAAATCAGCTCAATCGGCCCAGCCGTTCTCGAGTTATAATCAGACTAACGAACATCAATTCATTTTTATTTATATAGATTTTTGGTAATATGACAGTTTTTGAGTGCGGTTGAGTGTATTAAGTTTTAACATAAAATTGCTTTACTAAACAGAAACCTTCAAGAGCAAACAAATGAGTTCTTTTTAATTTACCTCATCATAATATTTTATGTTTCAAAAGAGGTACCGTTTTCTTACATAATTATGTGTAAAATCTGGAACTACTAATTCCATTTTTAGAAAGAATCTACGCTAAATCATGCTTAGGGAATATCGAACGCAATTTTTTTTTGGAATATGCAGAAAAATATTATCCGATGTGTATTAACAGTTTAGCATCACAAGTTTGGAACCGGGGTCAATGGTAAAAAGTTAATCTATTTCTAATTAAAACTTCCCATATTATCTCATATACTCCGATTGTAATTTGCCTCATAAAAATATCATCTCTTACAGATGGAAGCCCGCTTCAAGTTGCGTACCACAGAAGAACGCATGGTAGCCGACGGCGGTATATCCGGGCTACAGATGGTGGTGCGAACACTCGGCGCTCCTGAAGGCAACGCGCCGCGTTATCTCCTTGCGCCTGCTAACCTGTCACTAGCGCTATCACAGCCGCCTGGTAGCGGCATGCACGCGGATATATCCGTGTCTGACATCAAGCTTACTGTGTCGCCTGGTGAGTAGACTAGCTATAAGATAAGCTTCAAGTTGCGAACCACAGAGGAGTGCATGGTAGCCGACGAGTTACAGATGGTGGTTCGAAACCTCGGCTCTCCCGAAGGCTACATAAACATAAGTCGTCTGATGACAGTATAGCTAGGACTCAAAAACAAAATAAACTTTGCGGTTGGAAGTTACTGGATCCCATATTCCCCAACTGCAAATGCAAGTTTGTGATTGATGGCTATTGGCTACTATAGTCTTTTTCACCTAAGATGATCCGTATGACACTTCAAGGTTATCCATATTACGCATACTACATATGCAGAATATTTTTGAAAAAATATTTGTATTTTATTAGCAATATAATAAAAAAAAATAACTACTTGTCTTGAAATATATAGTAAAATCTGAGTCTATTGATTATATTTTAATTAAATACGATGTAAAAATATTTTTTATTTAATTTACGCAATGTGTGAAACGGTATAGATTTAGTGCTGGGTTATTTGTTGCTGGGGTAAAATCGATTATTTCCGTGGTTCATTAATCGATTACAGTGAATACTTATTAAAAACATCACAAAAATCAACTATATTTTACGATTGTTGACTTTAATAAACGCATTGAAAATAAATTAATAGCTTTTAATTTAAAGAAATAGAACCAGTACTTTTTAGGAATCGTTTTTTTTAACACGAAGTCCATGGCATTTGAATATTATCAATAAAAAATTGTTACAAAAATATTTGTAATTAAAAAAACATATTTTTTGTTAAATGACACCTATATAAAATACACCGTGTTACTTTGCATTCTTTCCATATTCACAGAGATAAAAGTAGGTAACAGTACCTATTATTTAAGATAAACAAGAGACTCCCATAAAGAAAGTACACTAAGATTTTAGTAAATTTGGTTTTTCAGTACAAATTGGAATAAATCAATTTTGTCTCGCACGTTCTACAGGTAGAGGTGGGCGCCACGCCGGCGCGCCGCCGCCGCCGCGAATTTTTTCACGCCGCCGCCGCCGACGACCAGCTGTCGGCGCGCCGATACTGATACTGTACAAACTATTTGAAATTTATTCCTCTCCTATACTGTACTAATTTGTGTTTCAAACGCAGAAGAACTATTTTTTCATTAAGTTGAGCGGCTGTTCTAGTTCAATAAAGTCCTAGTATCACTGCGACCGGTACCGATCTATTGCCGCTATTTTTGTTACAGTTCGCCTCCGAGTCCTGCATCCATCAGGAATTGCAGTATCTTTTGGGGGGCGATATGTTTTACATCTTGTGGGCTTAGGATGTGTATGCCCAGGTGTAAGCTCCGCTTGCGCATCAAAACGTCCGCAGTCCGTGAGAATGTGTAGTGGCGTTTCATCTGCCTCTTGGCACATCCTGCACGTACTTGATTCGGACAGTGCCATAGTGGACAAGTGCTTGTTTAAGCTGCTGTGTCCAGTGAAGGCTCGAACTAAGATGCGCATTTTGATCCTACTCAGTCCTATGATCTGCTTAAAGCATTTTCGGTCATAGGGTTTTATAAGAGCTTTGGAAGGAGTTAATCCTAGCGTGTCTGACCATGCCTTAAAGGATTTGTTTAAATAGATGTTCTCCAGGGTCATTCGAGCGAGACTTGGGAATGCCACAAAAGGGTTCTGGACCATATTGTGTTCCCTCCGCTCCCGCTCTGGCCAGTTCGTCGGCATTTTCATTGTCCACGATTCCCGCGTGACCTGGAACCCATCTTAGCGTTACTCTGTTACGTTTTCCTTGGGTATTCAGTCGACTCATGCAGTTTTCTACCAACTTTGAGGTGATTAAGTTGGAGTTCAAGGCCATCAGCGCGGCCTGACTGTCTGAGTTAATGTAAATTATGTGGTTGGCATAATTTTTTCGCAGGTTAGCTTCTGCACATTCAATAATGGCGTACATTTCTGAAAGATAGAGGCAAATTTACCCAGGCTTTGAGATAGCCTAAGCTTCGGCTGCTATCCATACACGGCAAAGCCTACGTTAGGGCCCATTTTTGACCCATCAGTAAACCATATAACAGAAGAACTAACTATAATATTTATTCTTTAATGCCATATAAATTGGTACACAAGGCGAACTTAATGCCATTGATATACTAATAATTGATTGAATAACTTAATACTAACTATATTAACAGTTAATCAAGTACATTATAACAGTTAATCAAGTACATTATTCAAGTTACTGCTTGGTCTAGTAAATAATTGATCGCGAGAGGCGCCTCTAAACAACACAATGTGTTGCCTGTGCTGCCAAACCTTCCCATTGTGATTTGAGAGGGCTAATTTTGCATCTTTTCGTATGCTGCTTCTGGATATCTTTGTACTTGACTATCTGAGGAGTTGACCGTCATGTTTCTGCTTACCCTCCTCAAGTTCAAAGTAGAATATTGATTCCTACTACGCTAATTGAGGACGAAAGACGCAGGAGGACAAAGTGACTGACATAGCCCACAGAATCGCTAAAATCAAGTGGCAGTGGGCGGGGCACATATCTCGTAGAGCTGATGGCCGCTGGGGCAGTAAAGTTTTTGAGTGGCGACCACGAGCCGGAAGACGTAGCGTGGGCAGGCCTCCCACTAGGTGGACCGACGATTTGGGGAAGGTCGCAGGAAGTGCCTGGATGCGAGCGGCGCAGGACGTCTTACGGCTGAAACGAAAGAACTAATGCTAAGAGAGATGGCTAAGCTAAAGAAATAGCCAAAATGGATCCTCGTAAAGCACTTGTATTTGATCTGATTACCATGAAGTCCATGGTCTTGACAATGACCACACTGAGTGAGAAGAACCTCGCAAGTCTCTTAACTTTGGAAATGATCTATAAGGCTGGCAAGTTGCCTAACGAATTCTCTTATCGCTCAATTAATCTGACATTTGTATTGTTAAAATTATGGAAAAGGATCATTCTTGCTCGTTTATTCCCTTGCCTAAGTATGACCCATGTAATATAGTATACACGACCATAAATTTTGGCAGAAACCATACCAACCATAATCAGTACAATGTTTGGAAAAGAAAGAATCCTGTACGTCTGCTTTCGCTGCGGCTTCAGCTGGGTTTATCATAAAGGATTACTCTAAGAAATTAAAAAGTACCTTCTAGCACACTTCTACTACCTGCAGCTGATGGATTCTTATCTCAGTAACCGTTTTAAATCAAACTCGGTGACAAAATCTTCTCTCTTTAGTTGCACAGCTGGAATACCCCAGGACTTTGTACTTGGTCCGATACTCTATATCTACTAGTAAAGTAGCCCAGACACCAGAAAGCTGCAGCCTTCCTCAAATATAACTGTGATCTTAAAGCGACTAGACTGTTGCAAAGTCAGCTGCTTGGGTGACCAAGTGGCGCATGTAATTAAGCCCCGAAGTCTCACCATAATATCACTTAAGACGTGAAACTTATCCTCCGGCCAATCTAGACCTCGACACATTGCTGCAATCAACCTGCATTAAAATCCTGGACCGTAGGATGACGTGGAAAGACCATAAATATAAATAAAACAGATATGAATATAATATTCCACCGACAGTCAGCTAATCCAACATTAACTATGTGCCTCCAAAGAGCCCAAAAATACTTGTTAAGGGTACTTTTATCGGCACATTGGTACGCTCGCCTTTAGGGGATACACGAAAACCTGATCTCAGCCAAACCCGCTATCCAAATATCAAAGCATCTATGATCAAGAGAGCTAATTTACTAGGGTAAACCACTGCTTTAGTGGCTCAAACCCCAACCAACTGCAAATCACCTGATTAGTCTTGACGACAGACACTAAAAAGCAGATTAAAAAAAAACCTAATAAACAAAGGTCAAACAAGGTCACGCCGCCGACGCCGCCGCCGCCGAGGTCAAAAAGTCGGCGCGCCGCCGCCGGCCAATTTTATATCGGCGCCCACCTCTATCTACAGGTGCAAGTGGAATAAACCTAGTGGGCGTGGCCTAGTTCTTAATTTTATGGCTTTGGGTACCAGCCTTTTTATCCAGTCATAATAACAATTTTAAAATACTTTTCAGTTGATTTCAGATTTTCCTTTCTACTTTACGGGCTTAGGACCGTCAAAAATACGTAATAATTATTAGGGTTTCAATTAATTTACAACATTGTACCCTATTTTTACAAATTAATAAATTAAGTATGAAATGAAATCACCTTATTCACGATTAATTATTTATTCATAAGTTCCTACTTACAAAGTTTACGTACTGCGAAGCAAGTGTTCAAAGTGTCCTCCGTTCTGATGAAGGCACAGTCTAGCACGGCGAAGCGTAGGTTTTTCGCTTTAGTTTTCGCAACACATAAACGTTTTGTATCACAGTTTCACTAAAACAATCCTTTCATGTAACGCGTTTACACTGTTTATCTCTTCTGCGCATACCAGTCGTTTCAAGTCACTCCAAAAATCCATTGGTGTCAGGTCCGAGGATCGTGGTGGCCAAGCTACTGGACCCCTCGTCCAATCCACTGTTCACCAAACGTATTATTCGCGCACTTGACGTCCTTATTGTGGGGGAGCACCATCCTGCTGGTAGTAGAGCATTTGGTGTAAGGTGTAACGCTAAGGGTACGTCATAAAGCATTTCGTCTAAGACGTCTTGCAGACACTCCAAGCACCATCTTGATTAAATTATTCGTTGTTTGAATACACTTCAGTCATCTTTGTATTATTTATAACGTGATTTGTGTTTGATGGATTTCTCAGTTTTTTACAAGTGTCAAAAAGACATTTTAAAGACAATATATTGCAATAGATATTTAAAAATACAATAAAAAGTAAAAAAGTCTCCATCGCCATCGCCAACAAGTGATGTGCATGCGTTACGATAATTAGTGGTGTGTTTAACAGATTGTCGATAAAATAAAATACTCAAGATTAAAAAAAATTTTTTTCGGGCATTATTTTTTTACGGATTTGTGTTCAGTATCAGTAATATAGTAACCTCTGTAAATATGGCAAGAATGCAAAGTAACACCCTGTATTTCTCTAAAAGTAGGTTTTACTAACTCTTAGAAAAAAATCGATAGATAAATTGCTATGGTGTAGTTATGTGACATCTCTATAACTTTCAAACTCGAAACGTCATACGGATCATCTTACGTGAAAAAGACTATAATGAACGATCTAATACCGATACTATTTGGCTACTAGACTGTCATGTTGGTGCTTAGTTTATCACTAGCCATTTTTACACTTGCTTGCGTTCTAAAAGAATAAAACACAATTTATTTTCACAATCCAGACATAATAGCGCTCCTCAACCGCGTATTAGCAACGATCACGAGCAGCGACGAGAATGAAACAGAACAAGAACAGAAGGCGATATACTACAAGGACCTGTGGAACATGCAGCCCTTCAGAGCCAACTCGTATTGGTTCCTCAAGACTGGTGAGTATCAATGTTGTTATTATTAAAGCCCCAATACAGTACTCGAGAATTTGATAAAGATTAATTTAATGGTGTAGAAACCAATTTTGCTTGGCATCGTGCAACCTAGCGAGTAGTGATTTCCAACTTTGGCTAATTTCCTCGAGGGTTTCGTTCAAAGTGAGTTGTGTTTTCGTATAGGTATACTTTTTATGAGCTGCCTAAACGTGTCAATCTTTGCATTTTGTATGGAAAATAGGATTATAATGGCTCCAGTTTACGAATATTTATCAAAGCTACAAAAATCTTACTATACAGCAAATTGAATTTTCAGGTGAAAACGATTTCAGGCCTAGTTGAAGTCAGTTGCGTATTATTTAATTATGTCAATCAACTACCCAATTAATTAAACATTTGACTTTTTTTTACTAGACGAGGCTGAAGAAGCGATCAACCTCGAAGCAGCATCAACAGACAACTCTGAAGAGCCGGCAGTGCCAACCGGCGAGATATGCCTTCTGTCCAGTCCGTCCATCGTGGTGTCGTTAGAAATGGACATCGGTACCGAGACCATTCCGGTCCTAGTCATGCAGGCGTCGCTTACTGGACAACTCAAGGATTGGAGCTCTGATGTAAGTGGAACCTAAATCATAAAATTTATGTATTTATTGGATGCAAATAGATTTTTTAATTCGCATTTACAGGTCTATATAACTTAAAATGTGATGAATTAGCGAAAAAACCGTTATATACGTCTGTGTAGATCATTACATTGAAATTGCAAATTTTTTATTCCTAACCGTTCTTGCTGAAAGTATACATATTGACTTTATAGTAAGCACGTCAATTTCAATCTCGGAAGATTCTGACCTATAGACCTGAAGGCCGTAACTGTCTAGTTAATTCGTCTTCATCTCTGGTGTCTTTATTATGACATTCTGCTTTTTATATTGCCGATTACGATACGACCAGTTTCACCTTTACTCATTATTATCATAATATAGTGCATCGAGATATTACTATAAGAAAGTATGTACATATTATCATATATTCGTTATAATGTTTATCTTGCATCCAGTTCTACATGGAATCCACGTGGGCGATGCAAGTTTCGTACTACAACATCGGGCGCGCGGTGTGGGAGCCGCTGATTGAGCCAGTGGAGGTGTTGAAGGACTACCAGTACAAGCACGTGCCCTGGGAACTGAAGATGGAGGTACGTTAACAACTTTTACATCGGTGTAAAAGTACTGGGTTTTGGGATGTTTGCATTTGTAGTTTAGAGACATGCAGTCATTTTACAAGTGAAAAAGCATGTTAAAGCCAAGCGTCCACTTGTCGGTATCGGACGCAACGGACGCATCGTACGAAACACATCGTATCGGATGTGCGATGCGTGCGATGCGGACAGGTGGACGCACTTATATGAGTTTCCATATAAATAATACTGCGATCCGTTGCGTGCGATATGTCCGATGCGTACGATACCGACATGTGGACGCTTAGCTTTAAAATACTTCTCATTTGTGCTGCGAACCCACGTTTCTGACGATTGTGTTTTTTTTTGTGAAGCAGTGATAATATGCGTTAAGTTATATTTACATTGCTGTGTAACGTGCGCATTTTAACGTATTTTCTGAGGCATTTATGTTTCTTATTTGACAATTACGTTTATTGAATCTTGAAATGAGCTTAAACTCCCTAGCTTAAAGTAGAAACCCCCTGCGTACTTTCACTTCATGAAATTATGTAGTATTTGCAGGATTCAAATGTAATATGTTTACCGCGATATTAAATTACAGCCACCATTTATCTTGTTACTTGTATCCTCTAAATCCCAGGTTTCTCTAACAGGTAGTGATGCGCACTCAAGAGAACGTGGTATCGATAGACACCACGGACGAGGCGGCTAACATCCAGGCGGTGGCGTTGCGGCAAGCCAACAAGACCATCACTATATCCAGCAGCGAACCGCTCGAGATAACCATCACTAGGAGCGGGATGGAGGTAATTTACATAATGAGGGCTATCGTTTTAGCGCTCACCAGTTAGCGCCACTGTAGAGTAAGGTCCTGTCACTTGCTAATGCCTGGTCCGTGAGCACGTAGAATTTTGTCCAATGACCCCAAGCTACCCATCCTTATCGCTCGCGCGTAATTATGTTGCTGTCGCGCTCGCACACTCACTGCAGGCGCCCGTCGCACAGTCGCGACAGCAACATAATTACGCGCGAGCGATAAGGATGGGTAGCTTGGGGTCATTGGACAAAATTCTACGTGCTCACGGACCAGGCTTTAGTAGCGAAGACAGTGGCGCCAACTTGTGAGCGCTAAAGTGGTAGGAGGACTATCGCATTTGCACTCATCAAGATGGCGCTACTGTAGAGTAAGGTCCTGTCAATTTATTAAGTATAAAAACGATAGCCCTCGTTATCCTATTGCAGTAATATTTTGTCTTTGTTTTGTTTATTATTTTACTATAAATATTGTGTTCTGCACTCACTGAGTACACAGTTCTTTGACGCGGAAGCTATTGGCTTGCATCTCACCCGATGAAAAGTGATCAGGCCGAAGCTGAAAGTGATCTTCAATCGGAATCTTCAACCACAGAGAACCTGGCTATCTTACCTCTAAATACGATTAAAATTAATTTATTCTCATTAAGATACTGAAGTATGGTAAAAGTAATGTTTCAAAGTAAACATAGAAGCTTTGGATCATTAAGATTTAAATAACATTATATATTTTGTTTCGCAGGTGCTGACACAGTTAGGAAACTCATTCTCGGCCGCTATAGCCGAAACTGACACAGCCTCGGTGTCTAAATCGAAAGTCGACGTATGTATAACATCATTCTATATCCCACATATGGATTTTTTAGTATTCCATAAACTGTACTTCACATTTGATTCATTTTTAGGGTTCCCACTCCAAATATTTCGGAGCTCCGTACGTTCTACACAACTGCACGGGACTTACTGCTAAGCTGATGTTGCAAGACAACCATGATTTCTCTGTCTTTCTCACAGATGAATACGTAGCTTCAGACTACAGGTATACTGCGTATAAAAAGCTTGTGAATTAAATAAGAATATGACAATTGAATTTTGAAAATGTCATAATTATGTTTAATTTTGCAGGGAAGTGGTATTAGAACCAAACGCATGCGTGCCACTGCAGTTGAAACATGGCGGACTCAATTTGATGAAGCTAAACGAACCTCCTCCGCCGCTTAAATTAAATGTTAAGGTAAGCAACATCTCATTTTTCTGTTAACTAATATGTTTAGTGACAATTATCATTGTCTTTTTGTTAGTGCCTTTTTCCTGTGATGCGAATTTCTGCACACGTGCGCATCTGGTACTCATTATTTCATACATGTTTTTCCGTGCCGCGTGCGTTGCTCTCTTGCTGTTTGCGTCACAAAACGAAATTCATCAGCATTTGAGGAACTATTCTTATTTTATGATGATGATTTTCTATTTAACGCAGATCGTAGAAATGAACGAAGAAGTCCAAATTCCTGTGGAGCGAGCGGACAAGCGATACTTCACGCTCGGCCGTAAGCCGGGAGGCACTTTGGAGAAGAACGTGCCACACGTAGCGGCGATTGAACCGCGCGGACTCATCTCTGACATCGTCATGCAGGAAGCGGCTTTGCACATTTATTTGAGGAGTGTTGTTCAGGTTGGTGGTATTTTTAAGTTTTTTTACAGACTGCCAGGATAAATAGTTTCACTGCAGACTACAGGGCTTTGTGAAAAAACCAGTCAATAAGAGAAAAAAATGAAGAAGGAACGTGATTCTGTGATGTAAAAAATATTAAAAACCCACAAAAATAAAAGTCGGGCGGCACTTAAGTGGCGTTGCGTGGTGCGGCACAAAGGATCTAATTATTTTTTTACATTTTGTATGGTGTGTGTCGCGTTAGGACGGCTCTCAGCGAGCGTCACTGCATAGTCAGTGACGTCCAGCGTAGTTCTGTAAAGAATTATGTGGTGTCTACTCTTTATCAAAGAAAGAAAATTTTGCATTTATTTATACCATTTTATTCCACGTTGACAGGTGACAAACACACTGGCAGTGAATGTGTCTGTATACTACATGACACTGAGCGGCAACGAGGTCCGCCTATTGGGAGATGTGAAGCCTGGCGGGATTCTACGCATGCCTTTACAGGCTGTGCACACGCCTACTGCCGAGATATTCTTTTCTGTAGAAGGTAAGATAATGCCCAAAATTTAGCAAACGTGACTAAAATCCGGATCAAGATATTTGGCAGATGAGCTATTACAACAATCTTTCTCTCTTTCGTATGGAGACTATGTCGTAGTTAACTTAGTTTTAGTTTGCTAGCACGCTCGATGGACCAGGGATCAAGATTTATGGTCCTCTTTGGCGGGTTTACGCCCTTCTGACAAATTGAAATGAAAATGATGATTTATGGTATTACCCGTTTATTTTTTGTGTATTCTAAGAACTTTCTCTCCTCTCTCTTTTATCTCACCACGCTTTCTTTCTCTACTGTCTTTTTTGATAATAATGGTATGGCTTCTTTTAGGTTTCACGGTCTCAGTGTCTCCGTTTATATGGCGCGAACTGCAGCAAGAAGTCAAAATATCGAAATTGTTGCAATGCGATTCGAAAGACAAGAACAGTGGCGAAAAGTTTTACTTGAAGGTAACTAACAATCCTGTAACCTCAAATAGATATTTTCCAGTTTTGATATACAATTTATGATTGACTAGCTTTCCGCCCGCGGCTTCGCCCGCGTGGAATTTTGTCTGTCACAGAAAAACTTTATCGCGCGCGTCCCTGTTTCAAAAACCGGGATAAAAACTATCCTATGTTCTTTCCCGGGACTCAAACTATCTCTATGCCAAATTTCATCAAAATCGGTTGCGAGGTTTAAGCGGGAAAGCGTAACAGACAGACAGACAGACAGACAGACAGACAGACAGACAGACAGAGTTACTTTCGCATTTATAATATTAGTTGGGATTTTACCAGGCTATAGGAACAATGGAGCAAGTATTCTACGAGCACACAAACAGGCATACGTTCGCGTCTTCGTGCTACGATATCGTTTTGAAGCCAGCCGTGAAACTTCAGAACTGTTTGCCAGTGGACATCGTGGTATCCCAACTGGGATTGAAACGGACTCAGATATTCAAGCCGGGAGAGATGTTCCACTTGTCGCATCTGGCGCCTAATCGGGCTTCTGTCGTGCTTATGGTAAGATTACAAACTTATAATAACTGTGATTTTTACAGCACTTATTTTCCAGCCTAACAAAATATCAGACTTTTTGAATTATTGTTATTATTGTGCAATAACGTGTCTGTTTAGATTACGTTGTCGTATTAAGGGAGAGTCCGGTAATTTGGACCAGTTTTTTTCAATCCCATTTTACACACAGTTTTCTTTTGTTTTTGCTAATGTTCATGGTATATAATTAAAGATAAATTATTCAACTTATTATTTCATAGGTATTAATCGACACAATTGTTGTATATTTAGCACAAATCAACAAAATACGAGTTCAGAGCTTCGGTCCAATTTAGCCAACCGGTTCGATAATTTGTACCACAGAGTTACTAAATTGGATTTCAATAAATTTCAAGCCTATAAAAAAACTATGGCAAAATATTATACGATACATTCTTAACAAATTAGGTAACGAAAAGGAACAGTAGTTAATAACATAGACAATCGATATTGTTTTACACGTTATCACGATTTTGAGTAAAAATTTTGTAATTCCAATTATCGTAACGCACACTTGTACCTAATCTACTTTGCCAGTCTTTTGCTTTCATTTATTGTTAGTCAAACATAACTACGCTATTACAACTTCAAAATATGATTTACTAAAAAAAAATTCAAAATCCTTTGGTAAAGTTCCATACAACTTGATGTGGTACAATTTAGCCGACTAGGTGATAGTGCTTTTAAAAAATCGGTAAAAAATATAGCTTATAAATACCGAAAAATGTTTCAAATAATTGTAATCCACACTAATTTACGCTTCTAAATAATATATTAGAAACACCCTGTGATTAAATTTAACAAAATTACAAACTAAACATGCATTGTCAAAAGTTACTTGAAAACAATGAAAAAATACTTTTCAAAATAAAACACACGTGTTCGTTGTCACGGCAAAAACCACATGGCCGATATTAATTGAATTTAGTTGTGTATCGCTGAGTGTTGCAATTACAGACATTCAATAAATACTTTACGAAATATGAGGGTGGTACAATTTACCCGGCGGTACAATATACCGAACTCTCCCCTATATATCAAAAATATTTGTTTTATTCTTGTCTAGCTTAGTGACATCAATACTACGTGTACTAGAGTCACCGTCAAATAGTTCGTGACACCCAAAGTAACCAATAACTTCGCAACAAGTCTTTATTATAATTGAAAAGGTTGTGTTATCAACTTTTTGGCCACTATTTGACGCTGACTGTACGTAAAAATGCGAATACGTAAAGATATTACGAGTAAAAGAAAGTAACAATTTAATGTATTTATTTATTGTTCACATTGCAGATCCAAAATTATCTGGACAAATGTTGGGTGTGCACAAAGAATCTACCCGAATTGGAAACAGAGCTGTCAGTTTGGACTTTCGACTCCCACGACAGTCCGTCCTTGATGACGTTAGACCTCGGAATGCATAGTGTGGACATGGAAGGCACGCAAGTGTTGTCCCTTTACTGTCCCTTCTGGATGCTGAATAAGACTGGCTTCACGCTCCACTATAGGGTAAGTCTGCACTATTTAAAAAAAATACCTTATGTAAGTTTATGTAGGTGTAGAACCATGACTGAAGAAATTCTGATACTGTCTTGGAAGATTGCAAAACAATAGGTAAAATGACTCGACAGATAAATAGAATTACTTAATTCTAAAGTAGAAGCTACGACCCATTAAATATTGTAGATGCTAACAATATCTGTATTTTTCAATAACATTTTCGATTGCGTAGATAAAAGTACTTTGTGATAAAAAAAAGTATCCAATTGGCCATAAAACATTCCATGATTACAGAAATCAAAGAAACCAGAAAAAGACTCCGGAACTCCCAGCAAGGTACCTTTGAGATGATCTAGCGATATGGCATTGATTTAATAGACTTTTCACCATTTTTGCTGCCTTCAAATTTTAATTGCCTATTTAGATTGCCGATAACATTTTACACTGTCGGTGTTGGCAGTGTGCGGTGTGCCTATTGGAACATTGGTGCAAATATTTGAGGTTCCCTAAACTTGAACTGTTTGCACAAGTCTTCTGTATTGACACCAGCGCTGTTTCAGCCTTATACAATTTTTGAGTTTAATATTATGCTTTACAAAATTTTTAACCAGCTTCATCTCAAAGTAATAGTTTAGGATTTTTTGGTTTCGACTAAATTGTATGATATTCGTGTATTTGTTATTCACTAGCATGCTCAGTGGGGTCATGATATTATCCACTCCCTTTACGTGTATGAAATCGTTCGGTGTACGATCTATGGTTGTTTCGTTATCTAACATATTTCTAGGGCTTTAACGTTCAATGTCGATTACAGATAAAACATTCACGTTGCGGTAAATTTATTCGACGTCATACGTCTTGTTTGCCGGTGAGTGCAACAGTTAGACACTGTGGTGGTTGCACTTATGGGAATATGTTACTATTGTGTTCGTCACAGCTGTGTATTGATGTATTACACTCGCCGCTTCGTGAGATATTACTTTGAATGTGCATGTATCTATCATTTTTACTGATGTATGTGCACATCGTACAATATTCAATATGTTGAATTGAAGATACTTGCACCTTCATATTTCTATGAATAAGTTAGAGAGTTATATTTTCAATCTGCAATTATTAATTTATAATAGTTTCCCTTTTAATACATGCTGGTTTATTTGCGTATGAATACTATTTTGGATTTCTAATGTCATAGTAGGCTTATATGGAGTTGGTCTTTTAGCTATTGTAAGCTGCAATTAATAAATTACAATAAAAATGTGTTAATCAGTGGTAAGCACAGGTAAATTAATCAGTCTCGGGTAAATATTAAACACTTGTGGATTATGATGACCCTACTGTATAATAATATTTGATCTTTGATATACGTATTTCGTATAATTAGAGTATTTCATCATGATCACAGTCATTGCATGTCTTTTATTTAATCGCATGCTTAACATAGGATTAGCTATCATGTATGTATTTATACGGTTTTCGGTTAGACTATATTATTATAATATTTCGCCAAAATATAACCTCGCCAGTAAATATAACGATTTTCTATATTGTTTAATATAGTATGATCTTATTATAAAAAAAATCAATAAAATATTTTAAAGCTCTTGCCTGCTTTTTGGTAAAACGTCGGCTAAGATTATTTATGTCAATCATGATAATTTAAAATAAAATAGATGAAAAAGCACTTCTTCTAAGTATAAATTTTGCACTTAACATGCATGTATTAGATTTTTTTTTAAACTTGTTTTTCCAACAAATATTTGTATTAAATAGTTCTTTTACATCTATTATGATCTACGAGTATGATTACAAATAATGAGCGCGCGATATTTTTGCTTTTGAACCATACACTGCTTATGAAAACCGGATTAAGAATATCTCTTTTGTTGGTATTAAATATCAGCCCAGAATACAGACTTGGCGCGCTCGTTTAAAATAGCTTCAATCATCTTACTTTAAACGTGGTCGTCGTTTCAGAACCTGGATGAGACGGGCAACGTGATATGCCACCCCAAGGAATATAAAGAGCCGATTCTGTTCTCGTTCCGGGCGAAAAATTTTTTCGGCAAGAAAAAGGCAGCCATTCGCGTGGAGTTCGGGGAATGGTCCGACAAATTCCCTCTAGATGTCCCCGGAAGTTCGGGCTTGGTGTTGTGTAAACATGAGGGTAGGACGTATCAGGTATGTAACATATCATATGACGTAATGAGGGCTATCGTTATTATACTTAACAGTTGGCACCACTGGGGAGTTACTTTACAGTGGCGCATTGCTGGTCAGTGCAAATGCGATAGTCCTCCTACAGCAGTTAGCAATAGCGTCACTATTTCACTATGCATTGACGCCAACTTGTGAACTAAAACGATAGCCCTCACCCAGTTACAAAAGAGTAAAGGTTTTAAAAACAATTGTTATTTATTAGGTGGCAGTGACAAACCAACTGACATTCAACAGTTTGACAAAGATGGTGGTGTTCACGCCGTTCTTCCTCATAATCAATGAAGCGCCGTTTGCTATTCAATATCAAGAGCTACACCGATCTGGGGATCCGTGGAAAGAGGTATGAAACCAATTTAAGAGATTCATAAAGTTTTAGAAAAATAGTTTGATAGGTCAATAATTGAATTTTTAATCTGTAGGTGGATCAAAACTCCAGCGCGCCTCTATGGCCAGTCATAGACAAGGAAGACAAACTGTTGTTATTACGGGTGTCAGGATCGACCGAACACGCTGCGCCGTTCTTGTATACGGAACAACACAGCGTCTGCTTGAAGTTGAATAACGATGTGAGTATAACTTTGTTAATAAACGCTCTTAATAGTTTTTCTCATTATTTCCGCAAATGACAGCACGTGTCAGCAAACAGTGTTCCGATGCAATAGCAATGACAGCTCTTAATCTAAAGGTGAGTATAGACTATATCATTTACTGTAACAGAAAAACCAGCCCCTCTATGGAGTGTTCTAGTGTATCAACCTTTCTTTCACAAACTAAACGTCGTACATTTTACTTGTATTGTAAAGGAGACCTAGGACCTTGTAACAGAAGGGAGTCGTCACAAAGCCGATTTCTCTGCACCTATGACAGGTGGGCCCGATTCGACCAAACTTTAATCTGAGAATAACTCCTGGTATAACTGGCACATTGACAGTTTCAGTATGGGAAATATGTCAAAATGTCGATAAGTAACGATTTATTCTGAGATTAATATTTACTCTTGTTTGGTTGAATCCACCAATAGCAAGCTGATAATTTCACGCAAACTGTGGAGTGTCAAAAGAGCGAAGTTGCTAGCTCGATAAACAGTCTTAGGTTCAGAGAAATTGACTTACATTACTTAGAAAAGCTCTATAGTCTGGTCCGCGGGCACGTAGAATTTTGTCCAATGACCCCAAGCTACCCATCCTTATCGCTCGCGCGTAATTATGTTGCTGTCGCGCTCGCACACTCACTGAGGGCGCCCGTCGCACAGTCGCGACAGCAATATAATTACGCGCGAGCGATAAAGATGGGTAGCTTGGGGTCATTGGACAAAATTCTACGTGCTTACAGACCGGGCTTTAGTCTATTAGGATAATTTATACTCGTTATGAGGTTGGTGAAATCCAACTTTAACTTAATTTCTTTGGGCTGAAATGATGATGACAATGAACCTTAAAACCTTTGCAGTACGGCGGTCTCCACGTAGAAGTGCAGCTAAGCGAAGGAGGTACTTACATCACGGTGCGCCAGTACCGCGACGGGCACGCGCCGGCGCTGCTCGTCAACTTCACGCGGTTCCCCGTCGTCGTGTACGAGAAGGAGAACGTCAACGTCAAGTGAGTGTCTTGGAGTGTTCTCGAGTAAACCCTTACAGCACGGCAGGCTGCAGGGCATTACGGTGAACGTCAACGTCAAGTGAGTGTCACGCAGTGTTCTCGAGTTAACCCTTACAGCACGGCAGGCTGCAGGGCATTACGGTGAACGTCAACGTCAAGTGAGTGTCTCGGAGTGTTCTCGAGTTAACCCTTACAGTGCGGCGCGCTGCACGTCATCACGGTGAACGTCAACGTCAAGTGAGTGTGGAGCAGTGTTCTCGAGTTAACCCTACAGTGCGGCGGTCTCCACGTAGAGGTGCAGCTAAGCGAGGGTGGTACTTACATCACGGTGCGCCAGTACCGCGACGGGCACGCGCCGGCGCTGCTTGTCAACTTCACTCAGTTCCCTGTCATCGTTTATGAGAAGGAAAACGTCAACGTCAAGTGAGTTATCTAATGCCCGTTTTTACCATAAATCCCTAATTTTTAAGTGACCTCTATGGTAACACATAACAGGAATTTTGTTTTAAACGGATCACATAAAAATTTGGGATTGATGGTGAAAACGGGCATAAGCCTAGCTTTTATCGCGCCATTTTGTCGATTTTACGCAATAAGCCCATACGTTTGTCGACTAAAATCATCGATAAGATTTTATCACGGCGCGTATCCTAGCTCGGCTGTTATGTTGTTGTTATCTTTCCGTATTACGAGTAAAAATGAATTTTATGAGGATATCGGAGCGGATGGAAACTAAGTGTGTTTTATTAAGAACTGTATTTTAAAAAGGAACAGGAGAATAACTGATAAGGATTATTTAAGTTTCAAAGCATCCTTATTAAAGTAGGGTAATTTATTAGTGCATCATCCATGTACAGACGGCAGCAAATCAAATTATACATTACTATGTGCACTTGATCATTTAACCATGTATTTTTGTTTCAGAAAACTGGAATCGATGCACAAAATGTTGTTCACGTGGGACAACCCGGCTGGACCGCGCTCACTTATATTTGAAGGGTACAAGAAGAAAGAAATCGAAAACGACCTGAGGAAGGATGGAATCGGAGATTTCATGTAAGAATGAGATCAACAAAAGTAAATAATTACTTCTAAGTAACTTAAAGTGCCTTTTCGCCATTTGCTTCTAACGCTTTAAAAGCAAATGACGAAAAGGCATTTCATTGTTACGGAAATATAATAATGATGATACGTTTTTAGGATTAACGAAACTAACCGGGTATCCTGGGTATCTTTCCTGGACGGACTTCAAAGGGTTATCTTGTTCACTGACGATCCGAATCTAGCGAGTGGCGCCCACACGATAGGCGAAGCCGAATTCGTGGATACTGAAATCGTGTTGTCTATGCAAGGAATGGGTCTATCTCTGGTCAATGACCCTGAGTTGCTGGAGATTGTTTACATCAGCATATCCAAGTAAGTAGAATTTAAATAGTTACCCTATAGCCAAAAAAAAAAAATTCATATTTTTAAGGGTGAGAGGTCAAACTACTTCCCATAGCAGTTTGGTTCACCCCTTCTGGGACACCCTGTATACTCTCTTTTAACTAAATTAGTGATGGGTTTCTTTTCATTGTTAAGAAATCAACATTTGACAGATGTTTACAATATAATTATTGATAAAAATTATTCAACTGTTTTTTAGTTTTAGTTTATTAGTTTTATAATTGTTCTCTATTTTTTTCTAATAGCTCCGGTATCATTTGGGAACAATGCAAGATAGGTGCACGCCGCTACAAAAAAATTGACGGCGCGAAATTGGCACTGTACGAAGACCATTATCAGCAGTACTTGATTGACAAGATGGCCAGTGACGAACCAATACCACCGTGCAGGATGATTGATGAAAAGACTGAGGTGAGATGTTTTAGAAGTGGCACAAATAGTTATAGTTTTACTGGTCTGTTGACAATACAGAGCAAGAAGATAGTAGTTCCAAATTGTACTGTCATAAGCATGTACAGTCCGCGTCAAATAGTTAGACATCCAAAGTGGCCAAAAAGTTGAAAACACAATCTCATTCCAATGTAACAAAGACGTGCTGTGTACTTTTTGACTACTTTGGGTGTCACGATCTATGCTATTTGATACCGACTGTACTTATTCATTATTTCAGTCAAGTAGTCAATACATTGCAAAATAACACTTACTTGCAACAACATTAGATATGCCTTATAAGGCTAAGAACTCACGGCGCGATTTTCACCCGCGCCCGCGGCTGTTGTGGAATTGCGGTTTTATTTCAAAACTCACGGGAGCGGTTATTTGCGCTGTTAGGCTAAGAACTCGTGAGTGGCGTGAAAGGCGTGAGTTCTTAGCCTAAGTCACTGGTACAAAATGGTCCAGTGGCGAAAACCGCCGAGGCTGCGGTTACCGCGGCCCGCGCGATTCTACTACTTGCCCGCCGGTGCCGCGGGACCCGCATACAACCGCGCACGCTGCGGGCGCAAACTGCGTCGTGAGTTGTGCATTAGTTTTTACATAAGTATCTGCATTCTACAGAAGCTGCGGGCCCGCAATCGCCGTGGGCGCGGGTAAAAATCGCGCTGTGACTTCTTAGCCTAACTCGATCTGCCGTCGTATATGCTTCGTCATCCCGTTTGCGGGCTTTTGTTTATACCAAAACGTCTTTACAGGTGAACTTTGAAGAGATGAGAATAGTAAAACCTAATCCACGTCTGCTTCGTCGTACCCTCCAAGCCGGCTTATGGGCTTCCTACGGCCTTACAGCACATTCGAGGCGTCTCCACGCTCGTCTGCACAGGCTTCAGATAGACCAACAACTGCCGTTACCCACCTTCCCAGTTGTGTTGGCCCCTGTGCCTCCGCCTAGGTCTATAGCCAATGAAGGTCCTAGTGGTAAGTTTCATTATGTTATAAATAGGAAATAGTGAACAAAGGCGGCGATACATGTGTCAGCAACGAAATAGTAGCTTGCAGGCTTGTCAAAGGCATGTGCAAGTAACTTGATTTCAATCTATCCAGTTGTCCTGGTCCTCTCCAGGGCGCTCATACACGTCCCAAATATAGCTTGCCCTACCACCACTTCGGGACAACATATGGGCTGATGCTGATAAAAAGTGGCGGAAGAAACTTAGTCATCTTGGTCCGTAGTCAGTTACCGTATAGACAGACTATGACAGTTAGTGACACGTGCAAAAAACTGGTATGCAAGTATACTAGTTACTGGAATATGTATCGCCGTCATAATTTTGAAAATTGTGAGCATGCAAGTGCGATCGAAATAGTAAATAATCGTGTGATATTTAATTGTATATTCTCTTTTAAAGCCCGCGGGATGCCGAATATCGTTGGAGGTGAATGAGCTTCATTACAAATACAATGCTCAATGTCAATGTTGTATGATTTTGTAATTATTTTGTCTAAGCTTGGAGAGTTTAAGCGACATAAGAATTTATTAACAGCTTAAACTTTTGCCAGATCACCTCATTACGCACAAATGTCTGTTTCAATCAAATGAACCATTTTTCTGTAATTCATTTATTTATGTCTTTCAATATGCTTGCTTTTTTCGCAAATTATAAAGTCACTTTTACACGTACTGCTCTGAAAAAGAAAATTAATATTTATGCAAAGTACCTTTAATTAATCTACTGCATATTCATGTAATAATAATAACATACATATCTGTGTAGGTTTGGAAAATTAATAAGACAACGGCTTTTCACAAGTTTTTCCGTTTATTCGCATTCGTATCTTTTACATCTATCCATATCAGCAAATGAAATACAGATTGTAAAAATATAAAAAAAATCTTGCGTCACAGTTTTTCAGCTTAAAGGTACACATTGCGCGTGCGCAAATTAATTAGAACAAGGGCCTAACCAGTGCCGTTAACTGGCTTACAAAAAATAACGCCTTGGGTTAAAATTTTATAAGCTTTGATTTCATCATACGCTGACGTTGGCTGCATATGTCAACCTAGCGTACAAATAAACTCATGAACAAACGCGGCATTATACGCGTCTGTGTTACAATGCGGTCATTTAACGTGTTCGTACGCTCAGCTGACGTACGCCACCGATATCAGCGTATTAAGCAAAGAATCTAAAAAACCATTTCTCCACAGGCATGAAACCCTTCATCGAAGTATCCATAGTGGAGCGTATAATGGAGCACAGCAAAGTGCGCCAGTATAAGTACTACAAGGTGCTGATTCAGGAGTTCCATGTGAAAGTCGACATGGGACTTGTTAACGCACTCATGGGAATGTTCCCGCAACGAGTGCTTACGGAACAGGAGGCGGTACGTATATCCCATCAAAATAATTATTTTAAAATAAAAACACATAATTTGACAGAAATTAAAATGTTTAGGTTACTCACCATAACAGTCGTTTCAACTGAGATCACAATCTTAGTGAACCGCCAAAAACGCTTTATCATTTTAGCCAATTTGCAGTGTAGCTGGAGGTATCCAAAAAGCGCCAACGAACACCATCTCCCGTTTTTTATCCATCCTCTGCTTGCCTATTCTGCCAATATCTCACTCAATGGCAATTAGATTGACGGCTACAACGAACTATTCAGCTCTGCAATGTCCTAATCAAAATGGAAACAATTACCCGTATTGCATATTTATCTTCTACTGTTTACTAGCGTGTTTATAATGTAATGTTGTTGCAGCTGGATGCCTTCGAACTAGACTTAGAAAAGGCTGGACAGCCCTTAGAAGCACTGGCTGCTTTAGGAGTTGCTTCGGACCAGAAGAACTTCTACGACAATCTGCATTTATCGCCGCTTAAGGTGAGTCATTCACGTGTATAAAATAAACCAAATAGGTAGTATCAAATCTAAACCATATGATGCCTTGTTTTAGGTTCACGTTTCCTTCTCACTCGGTGGTGCGACTCAACTGCCTACTTTCATAGGCACTGTGCTACAAAGTATAGGCGTTACTTTGACCGATATGAACGATGTAGTGTTCAAGTAAGTTATTTTAATACTTTAATTTTAGCACTATACAAGAGCATATCGATAGAATTACATATTCAACAATGAAAGTACACAAAGTAACTTTTTCTATCTTTCCCAGGTTGTCATACTATGAACGCAACTATGAGTTCCTCTCTCAGAAAGAACTCATCTCGCAAGCGCAGAGCCACTATACGGGGCAAGCGTTGAAACAGCTGTATGTTTTGGTGCTTGGACTGGATGTGATCGGAAATCCGTATGGCCTGGTCATCGGCCTTAAGAAGGGCGTTGAGGATCTCTTCTACGAACCCTTCCAGGTTTGTTCTGTTTTTTTTTGTTTGAGTCTTAAACGGACTTTTTGTCTGATCCGACGAATATTTGATGCTTTCAAAACGTCTCTTGTTTTTTTACTGTCAATGTGTCATCTTGGTTTGACTTAGGTTGGTGCTGAGCTGAAATGCTCACTGAGCTGTTGAAAAGTATCAACGATTCATTTGTTTGATGTTTAATCGACCAACTAACAGTCACATCATGTGAGGTCACGATGTTAATAAATAAGACCCGTAAAACGATAATTATTTACGTGCGCATTTTCTTTACTACGCATTGTGATAAAGGACATCATCCATTTTGGTCCAAAATCAAAAGTGCCGGCCAAAAAATAAAAGTGCTGTATTCTGATAGAATACGTCCGCCTTAGCATTTTATTACTATGGCACCAAAGCTGTAGCACCACTGTGCATCGTGGTATTTGAGTTCTAAAAATACAGGGTGACAGGTAAAGCGATACATTCCTTGAAAGGGGTTAAAGTAGAGCTTATTTGCAGTCATTTAAGTCATATGACACCATGTCCGGAACTTGTTCATTTCCAAGTTATTCAAGATTTAAGTATTTTTTAAANGTTCAGTTCAGAGAACAAGTGCTCCAAGTAACAAGTGATCTGAAGAAGCAAGAACTGAGAAAAGGAAGCGAATAATAAACGCGAGAAGTCTCAGCAAGTGAAATAGTGGTTTTATTCCTGCAAGTAGCACCTACTACGCCTGACATAGTAAGGGCAAGCTCTCAACGGCAGTCATCATCGTCCGGTCAGCGCTCTCGAACACACACAGACGCATACAGTCCACTGCAGTCCACCACACCACCCTTCACGTATATTTCGCTGATTAATATACCTGAGATGTTTATTTCTTAAAATAGGTTCCATTACTGCTAAAAGATAACCAATCTTTTAAAGATACATGCTTTTGACCGAAAAAGAATACAATATTTGATCAAACTTATTCTCATGACAGGATTACCAAAGACGTCGTCGAGATAATATAAACAAACCACCTGCAAACTTGCAAGAAGGACTTGCTCGTAGCGGAAAGGGGCTTGTTATGGTATGTATTCTTTAATTAGCGGAGCTTTTTAAAGTTCCACAACTGCCCTCGTGCACGAACTGTTTGATACTCGACCTTAGAGACAATTATACACAGTACAGTTACATTTAGATATGTTCTGAAACCAACTAGATTGTTCTAGAACAACGCGATTTGCGAATACATCAAGAAAATAGTAAATATTAATGTAACGCTGGCTCAGATAGTGCGCGAGCGCAGTGTGGAGCCACCCTGAAACTTAAATATTGAATTTACACTTTCGTCCATTAAATCTAGAACTTGACCCAACATCCTCAATATAAAATTCTACCTTCTGTGAAAGTATAAAATTAAGACTGGGTGATAATATTAACATCGCAAAACAGGGAGTGTTTGACGGTGTTACCGGAGTGTTCACGAAGCCCTTCGAAGGGGCTCGGGATGAGGGCGTGGAAGGGTTCTTCAAGGGGCTGGGCAGGGGTGCCGTGGGGCTGGTCGCCAGACCCACCGCTGGGGTCGTGGACTTTGCCTCCGGCTCCTTAGACGCCGTCAAGAGGTTCGATGATTCGACTACGTTCCCATTTAAACCATCATGTTTTTGTTCTTTGACGCATGCTTTTTTATTTCACACGCTTGTTGAGACGCATTGAAATTGTTGAATTCCAATATTGAAATTGTAAGGCCCGTTTTCCACCAAGGCGGAGCGGAGAAATGTTTTGAATAACCAATCAGATTTCATTCTAGCAATTTCATTCAATCTGATTGGTTATTCAAAATGTTTCTCCGCTCCGCCTTAGTGGAAACCAGGCCTTTTGCTTCAAGAATACGTTACTCACAGTAACAACTTTCCGCGCATGTTGTGACATTTGGTGCTGGTAAAGAACTAAATGGGTTCTGTAACCAAACGCGTGTGATGTGAAATGTTGCCGAAGTTTTGTTCAAAGGTGTGATGATGTTAGGCAAAATTTAATTGGACGAGAATATGACGAAAAATTATTGGGACTTCTAAATACTTTCAGATTATTTGACAGCTGTGTATAATTTTCGGTTGGTAAGCCGATTATTAACCGATATTGTTTAGTGACTGATGGGTTTTAGAGCGTTTTCACATTAGACGGATTAAACGTACAACCATACCTTATCAATTACCATCGCGAAGTTTGTGGATGGAACAGAACAGTGACAAGTGGAAAGTCGAAGTGATATATGGAAGCTTTATGCTCCTACAGTCTCCTGAAAATTTAAAACTATATGGCGGAAAACTGGTGGTTTGAAACTAGTGAGAGTGAGTTTCTTACCATGCATACAAGGATGGCTAAACTTGTGTTTATTTGCCATACACTATGGCTTAGTTAAAATTACCTTGATAGATGAGTTTCAAAATAAAATTATGTAAGACATTATCTTTTTTTATTTCATTACAGTGTAGATTTGAGAAAATTAAAAAAAAGCTTTAAAAAAAATGACTGACGTCAAGCGGCTTCTTTCTAGCTCTTGCGAAACACAATTCCCCAAAAAAGCGGTTGGGGTAAAGTATCGAGTCGAGCTATTAATAAGTCTTTATCGAATAATGTGAAAGCGCTCTTCTTGTCACATAGGGCTTCGTGGAAGGCGTGTGTGGCTTGGTCCTGCGGCCGATACAGGGCGCGCAAGAGAGCGGTGCGGGCGGGTTTTTCAAGGGGCTGGGCCGCGGGGCCCTGGGAGTTATCGTGCGCCCCGTCGGCGGAGTCGTCGATTTCACTTCGGGACTACTCACATCCATTAAAAGGTTATTCATACAGTATTTTACGGAAGTATTACGTTAGTTTTATGGAAACTCATGAAGACTTTTCGTCCGCACCCTATCTATTTATGCTCAGGTGTTATTAAGTAATAAATCGACAACTTGACTCTTCTTCGTATCTTCGACAAAATATTTAGTGTTTGTGTAGATATGTTTTTAGGAAATAATCTACAGAACTATTGACGTCGGTCTGATTTATTTGGATGTAATTGATTTTTATGTCAATGTTGTATACGCCTGTTATTATTGTCTGTAAAAAAATTTATTCTTTGTCACGGGATGTGCCAAAATGTATGCATGTGAATGGCAAGTGTCTAATAAATATAAACGGGTGAGAATCCGTACTATTTTATTTCTTCGTCTACCACACTGTTAGTAAATAAGTTTCCAACACGCTCAATTTTAATAAAAATGATATCTCCAAGAAGCTAAAAGTTATTTAAGGCTTAATAACAACGCGTCATACAGTGAAATTTACACATTCCAACTGGCGTCGGAACGTATACGTTAGCTATTAGTTAAGTACAAACTTCGGTAACATTTCACCTCGGCCGGGTGATGTATTGGGCAGCTAAGTTCACTCGAAGTTCAACCCATTTGAAGTAGTGTGAATTGCTTTGGCTGTAGTTTGTTGTCGCTTCTTTTTAAAAGTAAACTTAGGCATAGTTTTTTATGTTTATTGCACGTTTTTTTATGTCATGGTTTGGTCACTCATCAATTAGATACTCAAGATTCTATGTGTTTTTATTCTATTTTGATTTCTTGAAAATCAACAACTTGAACCATTTATAATCTTCACTTATTATTTTAGTGTCCTTCTCATTACTAAGCGGAACATCCAGGATTTCAATGTGGCATAAATCTTCCAGGTCCTTAAAACTACGCCACGTATGAAAGTTAATATCAATGAAACGGTGTCCTCATTTCTTTTAAAATAATTTCATCTAAACCACCGTCAATATCACCAAAACTGCAGACATAAAACATTTGCGTTTTAACATTACCGATGAACTAACAGGGCGGCAGATCTGTCTGAAGAGGTGACGAAGCGACGAGCGGCGAGGTACTTGCCGGCTGATTCTGGCGTAAGGCCCTACTCTCGGCTACACGCCGAAGGATATAAGATGCTGTTCGAGTTGGAAAAGGTACGTTTTACGTTTGGTACTAATATAGTAGTAGAATTGTGCATATTTTGCTATTTTCTTGAATACAATAATGTTAGGTAGGTGTTTGGATGCGGGCGGCGCAGCTCCGCTCGTTGTAGAACTGCTTGAGGGAGGCCTTTGTTCAGCAGTGGACGTTATTTGGCTGAAACGAACGAACTAATTTTAGTTTTTAATGTTTTCTACCCCGTGGCCGTCTCTTCGTACCTAATCTTATTTGAAGTATTTATTAAGACTTACTTCAGTGTATGACATAAAACCGCAATTTTATTACTCTGGCATTAAATTAGTTATGATAGGTGCTAAAGTTCATTTTACTAGACTAACATAGATACGATTACAATACAATTGTAGAACCAATTTAGTCTAAAGGCACTTACGATAAAACTAAAGTAATCAACGATCAATGATGACAAAAAATATCTAGTAGGTTATATTCGCGTACCTATTGAACTTTTTTTTAATAAATATATATCTTGCTGTAAACTATGTTTGTTATGAACACCAGGGCAAGTTCGTGAGTACGGACACATATGAGGCCCACGTGTGGGTCATTCCTGCCAAGGAAGTGGTGATGTGCACGGACAAGCGGCTTCTGTACCTTGAGAAGAATAACGTCTTCGGCGGGTGGCAGGTACGAATACAATCTAACTAACATGTTTAAATGAGGAATAAACGATAAAAGGTAATTTAAACAGGTTCTAGGATAAAGACTTCGTCTTAAATACACCCTGTATTTAAGACGAAGTCTTTACTTTTAAGAAACGTTAACGTTAAATCATGATATCAATTTTCTGACTTCACCATACCATTTATATGACCATGTTAACATGGGCTAGTGTCGGCTCATTTACCCATTTACCTAACACCCTGTATAGTGTAAGACGCACACTTGCTAGATGGGCCGACGACCACAAGCTCGTAGTGGAGCTGAAAAAAGCGCGAAAGGGATTTTTGAGGGAGACATGTCTAGTAGTTGACTGCCGCTGGCTGAAATTGACTGCATTTTTTATTTTTCTACGTCTTCAAGTGAGCATAGACTAGATTTCAAAGTCTTAAAATATCTACAGGCAGTACAGGCACTGACATCTCTGTGGTTATTACTTTTTATTTCCCGCAGATAGTATAAAATACGAAACCACATCTTATTTCCTAGTATTGTATGTAGATATTTTTTTTTGCGTCACAGAATCATTACAGGCCTTTAACGTTTCTTAAAAGTAAAGAGCACTTATAGGCAAGGTCGCGAGGCATGTCTCGGTGCGAAAGTAAATATTCGCTACATTACCGGTAATGCATGGCGGTAATCCATCGTTCACGGTCCCTACATAATTTGCTAAAAAGATTCTTGAAAGGAAAACATATTTTTTACTACCTAGGTTACAAATTAATTTTTGATAATAAATCATTTTACTGTTTCTCGTCGTTTGTTGTTTACTTAAAAGCTTTTTTATCACCAGTCTATAATATTAAAGGAAGATGTGTGAATATACCTAGGTAGACATTTGTTTTTTTACTCCGCTCCGTGAATAATGTCAATAGCCTCACGCAATCCGTTTTCACGATATTACGAACGCCTCGCCGACGTCATAGGTGTTTGTTTATGGGAACATACATACAATAATTGGCTAAAGTTGTTTACACCGCTTGGTCTCGGCGGGTCATGTTTTATGTATATGAAAACGTCGCCTCGCGTATCTCGATGTATTCAATAACTAGTAAATATTTCATGAAATTACCCACTTTGGGGTGCGCTCCAGAAGCAATTTTGGTGTATAACCATTGCTTGAATGTGAACATGAGCGCGTTTTATTATAATTTCGCGAGTTCAGCGTGTGGACTTTTTAATTTTTTCGGGATAAGTAGAAACGAAAGCAAAGCAATGAACTTTATACTGGTCCATAGGAGTTAACATGTTTGTTATAATGGTTTTTATCGCCTATAGTAGGTTCCTATGTCAAATTATTGGGTGGAACTAGAACTACAATTAACAATAATGTAATATTTTCTATCAGATTGTTTGGTCGTACCTCTGGTCGGAGATTCCGGACGTGCCGACAGCAGCCAACAAGGGCGTGTACATTCCCACAGCCAAAAAGAAGGTTTTGGGCATGTTCCCATCGTCGGGCTCCGGGAAACTCATCTTCTTGTACGACGAGCAGCAGAAGAAGTATTTGCTAGCCCAGTGCGAGCGACTCATGCGGTCGGCGCGTTGACATGAGGACGTAGAAAGAATCACGCTCGCGGAACAAGTCGAGCAATTCTTTCTACTTATATTCGATTTTCGCACAGCGCTGCATACTCTCGCCTATCACGTTAACCTGCACCATATCGGCCCAAAAGGCTTCCGCTGACTGTGCTAAGAACGGACTTTTTTGACTAGCTTTAATCGTGCTTTTTGTGTTTCGTTATTAGTATACTTATTATGTACAATTTAGCTAGTACATTTGTACGGAATTGATTTTTTAAACGCCCCGAAACCAAGACTACCTTTACAGAAATATGGTTGTAATTTGTACAACTGTAACCAGTAGACTTAATTATAAGTGCATATTTTCTATAATAGTGACCTCACATGAAATAAAGTTCCATGCCTGCATGGTATTTAAGACTCGATTTATACTTATTGTATGATATTATTAATAGTTCGTATTTCTCCTTGCGCTATTTTCTACGACTTTTACAAAAGCATCTCATAGCTTGATCAGTAGACCGCTTTGAGAGCGCATCAAAGCATAGGTACCTCTTGAAGTATTTTGCAATGCATTTATATAAGACTTTAATATTTTGTAAGTTGTTTTACAATATTTCAGTCTTCCGTTACCGAATAGTGGTTTTAATACTACTTATTTTCATTCTTTACAATCAAGACACAATCGATAAGAATTCAATACTCGAATACTTTGAAGAACTCTGAATGTGTTGTTTGAATCTTGTTATGTTTCCGTGATAATTAGGTCTATAATGATGTTAGATTTGTTAATTTTGTAAGTACTTATATAAAAATAAAGACCACCACCAAATCAACCTGTAGTAACCAATGACTGTAATTTTACTTACCGAATATAAGAGTACAAAGATTGTTATTGTTAATGGATGCAGTTTAAAATTTTGTTTATGTTAACATACTGAATTCTACATAACGTTGAATGGTTATTATAGTGTTTATGTTGGTTTGGGCACGTTTCAAGCTGAATAGTTCAGTCCCAGTGCCTTATGTGAATTATGACGTGACTTGGGAACACCAATATATGTTGTAATTCTGTAAGAAATGTTGTTAATTTCCGAAATGTAAGTTGCTGCACAGAGTTGCGGGCTTCGCGTCGAGCGCTAAAGTTACACAACTCACCAGATGTATAAATTTTGTTACATATTTTGTCGTATTTATTTATTGAGGCCTTTTGTGCAGACGTTCGTTACAATATAACCTTTGTGATTTTTGCTTATTGCACAATTTACTAATCATTTCGACTCGTTTTTGTATTATTATCCAAGCTTGTGTACGATCGATTTTTAATAAATACAATAAATTATATTATTGCTTTGTTTTCTTAGATACTCCTATTACCTTTTATCTTTCAGATTTATTAGGATGATTCTGTTATTATTATTATGTGACTGTTTGACCTATTAGCTCTAATCTATCTCTATAGATATACTGCTGTCTGGTTATTTTTAGCTGTAACCCCATGAATACTGAATGAGCGGTTATGCACAATATTTACGCCGTAAATTACCTAATTATGGGAACGTTGAACTGAACCAAATACACGACTCGTGGCACGTACACAATTATATCTCCACAAATGGAAGCATAGGCAATTCCTAAAGATCTAAAAGCTTAGTTTTCTGTGTTAAATAACGAGTCGAAGAAAACTGCAGTTTTCTCCTTGTAACCTTCAAACGTCTGCCGTTCCGAGCGTTATGTCTGAGCATTATCAATTTACTGCTATGATTAATATGTAAAATTTGGACATAAACCCAATCCGTATAAACGTGTTACAATCAAATGGTTATAAAGGGTTTATATTCGGACAGTAAAAGCGATGTTTTCAGCGATGGCTTACGTCTTCCTTCGTAAAGACGTCTCCAGTTTACGGAGACGTTTAAATTTACAAGCGTATCGTTAACTTAATAATCGTGTTTGAATCGAACCTACTCGAATAAAGGGGTTAGTGGGTAATCAAGCGAGCGATTAGCGACGCTTTTGGCAAACGTATTTCTTTGGATTAATACAAGCTTAGTGCTTAGGCATGGGCATCCCTTCCCTCTATTTTCGACACGAGTAACGTGGTTTTCTTAAGTATATTCTAGGAAACTTGTTACTGTGCGTTAAACTTATGTGCATACATAATAGCATCAGATAAAATAGCAGCTAATTATGATGGTTTGCGTTAATCATTGCGTAACGAAATTGATGATCTACTCAGTAGGTTGGTATTTCGTATTAAGTAATTACACTGCCGAATCCGTATTCATACCTACTGCTTATTATGTTTATATGACACTTATTCTAATCTATAAGAGCCAATAAAGAAATTAATAGGTACATACTTATTTTCCTTTTTTCTTGAAATCAAATGAGCACAGCAAAGCTCGTGATAATATTTCTTTAACTTTTCCTGTGTGTTCGCATAGACGTCGGATTACGCGGACTTTGCATTTGCGCGCCGTATTTTAAATATAAAGGCATTGCATGCAAGAACTAAGCATAGTTAGAGACGCAAACAAACATTTCCATTAGATAATTTGCGGAACTAAGAGCCGACATAACCGTTACATAGGAAACGAGTAGAACAATACACATAGTGTCAGTAGACTCCATCTATTTTTAATCCTGTTCTTTCGTTGAAAAGTATGTTAGGATAATACCTTAAAAAAGGCAGTTAAAAAAAAGCTCGTCATAAAAAGAAATGATAAAATTTTGATGTGATGTGATGTGACCATTTTCGGCCCTTGGCGACTTCCTACTTCCCTAAGTAGCTGGTTGCAGCGCTGTTTTTAAATTAACCACCAGTGAGCATTCTGACTGAAGCAGTGGACGTTCTATGGCTGAAATTATGTAGGGTAGTATTTTTGTAGGTATTTTGTTTATTTTTTGATGATGATGAAGCATTCTGAACCTTATTTCATTGTATTGGCAGGTACTTATTGTTCGAAGCCAATTTGCATGAAGTTTTAATCCTAAATTAGCGGGCATTTTCCACCTCATCGCATTCGCCGCAAAAACCACAGTATTGGTGTTATGCAAAGTTATGAAAATATTAAGGAAACTTTATTTAACATGATTACAATATACTTAAGTAGGTACGTAGGTATATCTATCCAAATAAAAATGAAATTAGTTGTCCCAATTTTTAAAATAAGTATTTTTGTGTTTGATATTCTTTGGAGCTTAATGATAGAGCGTGTTTTTAGAGTTATAAGTAGAGATGCACCGAATGTAGATTAAACCGAATACGAATGTTCCGCCGAATATTCGGTTCAAAATGTACCGAACCGAATATTCGGCCGAATCATTCGGTTCAAATTTGATTAAAACTTAAATTACCAACTAATGTTGACTCTGAAAGTTTCTATAAATTTGTTTTTTAATTTCATTTGTGAACGGATGATATAATTTGTTTATTGTTGATTTTAAAGAATTTTATTTGACTTACATTGAATTAAAACTACAAATAGTTATAACAATTCCTAGTTCACCATTCACTAGCATACCTACATTCCTAGATAGATATTTATTTAAAAAAACTTATTTGATTTTATAAACATATTTGAATACTTGTGTTGGTTCCTTAAGATAGTAGTTATTACATGGGGTGCGATGGTGAGAGACCTCCACGTTGGTGCATCCTGGGCAACGTCCGCATGATTGTACATGCGGGCGGCTAACATCTCATCTGCGCGGCAGGTTACGTCAATTCGGCGGGCCTGTCGGGCAACCCGTAATCCCCCAATGGAGGGGGACCGGGGGTCCCGGCTATGGAAGTCGGGGCCAAGACAAGGAAAAGTCTCTAAAACCCTCAAACGCCAAGGTGTGGTGGGGGCCGAAGAGCGATATCGGGTCCTAACAGATTCGATATGGTCAGCGGAGTATCGTTGGCCGCTACCCCACCCGGGGAGGAAAGGTGGGGCAGCTGCGCCCGCAAGCAGTTTATAAAAATGAACAGTCGTCAAACGGAAAATAGTACCCGGGCGGGTCCCAGCCATGCTGGGGAATCCCGTGGCTGCCCACAAGGTAGTCGGCCCTATGTATACGGGGGGGCCAACGCTGTTCCGCAGGAAACTGCGTATGTAAATAATGTATATAGTACGATAGGAGATGAGGAAAGCGGCGATGCTGTAGATATTGTAAAAAGTTGTAGTATTGTAAATATCGAAGAGGGCGGTGATGTTGAGCATGAACCGACATGTATAAACAATGTAAATATGGTAGAAAGCGGCGATGGCTCAAATGCCAAAAATGTACATAAAACTGGATACGACTCCCGCTTCTTTGTGAGGCGAGATACATTGAAAAGCATCGAGAATGATGACTCAGAACAGGACGGAAGTGCATCTGACGTGTCCTTCGCGTCAGTCGCATCAAAGAGGTCGCGACTGAGCTCGCGGGCCAGCTCGCGCATTGCCTCGCGGTTGGCGGCAACAAAAAGGCCTCATATGCCTGATAGAGACGAGACAAATGAAGGTTCGGATTCTGCTAGCTCATCAGCACGACCCCCCAAAGCCAAAGCACATGTAGGAAAAAAGTGTCGTGGAAGGCCTGCCAAGACTGGCGCATGCGCCGAGCGTGCACTTATCGAAGAGACAGAGGCCCGAGAGCGTAAGAAACAACGGGAAATGGAGACCGATGAGCAGGCCGAGCTCTGGACGAGCAAATTAATCCGGATGCGCAACCGGGCCGAGTACTCGGCAAGAGAACAAACAACAGAAGAACTGCTGCAGCAGATACGCACCAGCACGGATGCCGTCGTTCTTGCTTCTAAAAAGAGCGGCAACATTTCGGGTCCCATTCAAAAGACATTCAAAGAGGCCGCCATGAATATTGCGGGGGCACTTGAGGTCCTTTCTGCGCGGTCCCCAACGGAGGAAATTCGGCTGCTAACAGCCGCAAACAAGAAAATGTCCCAGGAATTGGAAGAACTCCGCAAGGAATTCCGTCTCTTAAAGGAGCAGAGCAATAAAGCTCCCGCCACCCAGCTGAATCAGACGCAGCCGGAGCGGGATGATTTTACGCGTGACATCATGGTCCAAGTCGGGACCATGGTGAATGCGCGGATCGAGGCACTACAGCCCAGGCTACTGCCTGAAGAACGTCTCCGACCCCCATTAGCGGCGGATAGGCGAAGAGAGAAGACAGTGATGGACACTGATTTTCCACCTCTGGCAATGACACCAAAAACTGCCTCTAAGCCACAGTCTAAGAAAGCAGCTAAAACGGCAGCCGCCAAGCCGCAGTCCGCTCCAAAACCCGCACCTAGAAAGGTCATACCAGCCAAACCAGAAGTAGCAAGTAAAATAGCTCCACCTGTTGACCCCAAGCCTGCGGCCATTGAGCCCATGCCTGCTACCAGACGTAGCCAAAACAGAAAGGGTGCTAAACGCTCGGCCCCAGAACCTGCGCGTGAGTCACGCCCACTTCCGCCTCCTCCTGTGTCAATTGACGAAGGGTGGTCTACAGTGGTTAGGCGAGGAGCAAACCGTAGGAAGAAGGAACTCACTGAAATCCAGCCCCAGGTTCGTAAATCTGAAACGAAGGCCAAGATTCCCAAACTTCGCCCACCTCGCACGGCTGCCATCGTGCTCAGTTTACAGCCGGATGCAGTAGGGAAGGGAATAGGTTACAAAGAAGTTATGCGGGAAGCAAGGTCTAAAATTGACATTAGTGACTTCGATATAACCTCCATGCGGTTTAGGAGCACCAAAACAGGTGCCAAACTCCTGGAGGTGCCAGGGGAATCCTGTGGTGACAGAGCAGATGCACTTGCTGCAAAACTCAAAGAAGTCTTGCCAGAGGATGCAGTGCGAGTTTCCAGGCCGATTAAGACAGTAGACGTACGTTTGTCAGGCTTAGATGACTCCACAACGCAGGAGGAGATTGTGGCCGCCGTGGCTAAAGCTGGCTGCTGCGCAACTGAGTCAGTAAAGGTGGGCCTTATAAGAGAAAACTTCTCAGGCTGTGGGACTGTCGTCATAAAGGTCCCCGTCGCGGTCGCTAAAAAATTGGCTAAAGGACGACTTCTTGTGGGTTGGGTATCGGCCCACGTTAAAATTTTAGAGAGGCGGCCCTTCAAATGTTTTAAGTGCTTGCAGGAGGGTCACGTCAGTGCACAGTGCTCGACTGGCATAGACCGCAGCGGAAACTGCTACCGCTGCGGTGTGTCGGGACATCTGGCAAGAGACTGTACCGCTCCTCCACACTGCCCTGTCTGTGCAGAAGCCGGCCAAGGAGCAAACCACAAGATGGGGAGCAAAAGCTGCACCCCACCGAAGCCGAAGAGAGGAATAAAGGGCCAGCCAACGCTACCGGCTGCCAACACTCAGGTCCAGAGCAGTGGACCGGCGATGGATTTTGAGGTGGAGTGCCCGTAATGGCTCTACAATTCATGCAGGCGAATGTTAACCACTGCATCGGTGCTCAAGACTTATTGTTACAGCATATGATGGAGTGGTCCATGAACGTGGCGATTGTGTCAGAGCCGTACTGGGTCCCCACCGACCGAGACGACTGGGCAGCGGATCTGGAAGGTGTAGTTGCCATAAAAGTGGCACAAGGGTTGCAAATTGCGGTGGTAGAGAAAGGAGACGGCTTTGTTGTCGGAAAATGGAGTGATATACTGTTAGTAGGGGTCTATCTTTCTCCCAGTAAAAGCACTGCTGCAGTTGAGGCTAGTCTGGACAGACTGAGTGCTATAATACGGCAGTCTCAATTCCCTGCACTGGTGGGTGGCGATTTTAATGCCAAATCAATAGCTTGGGGAGCTCGCGCCACAGACCGCCGAGGAGACTTAGTTTTAGAGTGGGCCACAGCACTGGGGCTCGTAGTTTTAAATACGGGTTCCGAACCAACATGCGTTCGGCCACAGGGGACATCTATTGTGGACATAACCCTGGCGAGCCCTGCGATTGCTACCCGCGCGGCTGACTGGCGAGTACTTACTGAGGTGGAAACACTGTCCGACCATCTATACATTAGATGGGATATACCCGCCTCACCCAACAGCAATACACCCAGTCTCGCCGGGCGTGGCACCGTATATCCGCGGTGGAAACTTGGTGCTTTAGATAGAGATACCTTTCAGGCAGCAGCCCTTGTAAAAGCCTGGCTCCCAACACCAGCTGGACCCGTCCAGGTGGATGAGGAGGCGGAATGGCTCCGGGTAGCTTGACGCACGTGTGTGATGCGTCCATGCCTCGCGTTGGTCCACTGCCTCCTCGCCGACAAGTCTACTGGTGGTCAGAGGCCATCGCTGTATTGCGTCGAGCGTGCAACGCAGCACGCCGCGAAGCCTACCGGCACCACCGGAGACGTGTCCGCGATCCAGACCAGGACGATCCACTTCGCGAAGCCTATAAGGAGGCCAAAAAAGCTCTAAAGATTGCCATAGCCAGAGCTAAAGTGGAGGCGCGAAAAAATCTGCTTGCCACGCTTACCAGTGATCCATGGGGACGGCCATATAAAGCGCTCTCATTGGAACCGGCCGTGCTCGCTACGGTCGTCGCAGGTCTTTTTCCAGCGCGCGCAGAACATACTCCACCAGTCATGAGGCCCCACCCAGTGGCCTCGACAGCTGCACCTGAGCTTATATCAGAGGGTGAACTTGGAGCAGCCTATCTAAGAATGCGCCGGAAGAATGTGGCCCCGGGTCCAGACGGACTCTCGGGAAAGGCATGGGCGCTGGCCGAAGAGACCCTTGGGGGCAGAGTACAGCGGCTCTTTGACGCCTGTCTTGAGCAGGGGCGCTTTCCAGCGCAATGGAAATGTGGACGTTTGGTCCTATTAAGGAAGGAGGGGCGACCACCAGACTCCCCTTCCGGGTACCGTCCTATAGTATTGCTTGATGAGATAGCCAAGTTACTGGAGCGAATTATCGCTAGGCGTCTTATCAAGCATTTAGAAGAGCAAGGGCCGAACCTAGCTACCACCCAATTTGGGTTNAAAAAAAAACACAATATCTATTAACATGAAGCCAAAAATAAAATTAATATATCTTAAATATTACAAGGTCTTTACGCCTTGTGCCGCCACAATGTAAGTTTTAATACCAGGTTTACCGACCTTGTACCGAAGGAATGGAAAGTATTAGAAAGTTACTGCCGCAGCAAAGGTGTTAACAGACTGCCTTAATACTAGGTACTTATTACTATTGGTTTTTGGGCCTTCATTTGCGCCAGCTCGACCAGGTTTAATCTATTGTGGCAGCCCTTGTGTTTAGAGTTCACTGCTTAGTCCCGTTGGTTCTATAAATTTCCAGATTCTTTGGAGCGTGATAACTGCTATCTCATCCGGGTGCATGATGTGTCGCCCGAGATGGATACTTCTTATGCTCATAAGCGGGCCGCATGAGCAAAGAACATGCATGGCCGTTTCTTCTTCTGTATGGCAGAATCTGCACAGAGTTTCCTCGGTCATGTTCATTGTTCATGTTTGATTTGTGTTTGTTTAGTTTGCAGTGGCCGGTTAGTATTCTAGTCACTGCACAGTTTGTATCTTTTGAACTTTAGCAGTTCCTTAGTTACTTTGTTGCTATATCCCTGAATGAGTGCTTTTGAGTGTTTTTGTCCCGATGTAGACTTCCACCACTCAATAGCCTCTTGTTTGCAGAGGGCGGTTAGTAGCGTGGTGGCTCGTTGTATACATATACTAGGTACTACGAGTCCCTCGTGTATACGTGTAAATTTATCTCCGAGTGGTCGGTGGCGGATCAGCAAGCCGTCACTGTTAAAAGATGGATGTGGTAGAGACGGAGTCTGCACATTTATGCGGACTACCTGAGCATTGGTTGGATAGGTCGGGATAAGGCTCAGCTACACCTCGGTGTGACATGTTACGCCGACGACACTCTCGTGACGGCCCGCGGGGATGATATCCGAGAGGCGGTACGACGCGCTACGGCCGGTGTAGCGATCGTGGTCCGCAGAATACGCGAACTAGGATTAGAAGTGGCGCTCGAGAAATCTGAAGCTCTGTGTTTCCATGGGCCTCGGCAGGCGCCACCAGCTGGGACCCATCTCCTCGTTGGAGGCACTACCATCCCAGTTGGGAAGTCCCTACGTTACCTGGGGCTCCAATTGGATGGACAATGGACGTTCGACGAGCATTTGGGTTTAGAGCCGAAAGAGGGACGGTAGATGCCATTTTACGGGTCAAAGAGCTAGCTGAAAAAGCGGTGGCCCGAGGAGGGGTACTGTTGGCAGTGTCTATTGACATTAAAAATGCTTTTAATAGCCTACCATGGGCTTGCATCAGGCAGGCTCTTGTACACCACGGCGTCCCGTTATACCTCCAAAACGTAGTGGCCGACTATCTGGCCAACCGAGAGGTTACTCTGGAAGGGAAAGATGGGCGAGTTCTCCGCCAGAAAGCTTTGTGTGGAGTTCCACAGGGGTCGGTCCTTGGGCCTCTCCTGTGGAACCTGGGGTACGATTGGGTCCTCCGCGGGCGTCTAATTACGGGGGTCGGTGTGACATGTTACGCCGACGACACTCTCGTGACGGCCCGCGGGGATGATATCCGAGAGGCGGTACGACGCGCTACGGCCGGCGTAGCGATCGTGGTCCGCAGAATACGCGAACTAGGATTAGAAGTGGCGCTCGAGAAATCTGAAGCTCTGTGTTTCCATGGGCCTCGGCAGGCGCCACCAGCTGGGACCCATCTCGTCGTTGGAGGCACTACAATCCCAGTTGGGAAGTCCCTACGTTACCTGGGGCTCCAATTGGATGGACAANATTTTGATGACTTTGTTTGTGTCAATTTCTAATGCGACACTGAGTTTGGAACTCAGCGCATTAGTTGGCATCTCTCTATATCTCTATGATACTTCCATACATGTTCAACAGCCCGACCAAACTATCGGCCGACAAAGTCTTTAGTCTGCGGGGGCCCTTAAGCAGCTTTTATGCAGTGTCTTGCTGAATAGAAGCGTTTAATCCTGTTACCGTAATACTTTACGGATTAGATTAGACCGATGGACCGATGAAATGGTATCAATTGGATTTCTATTTCAGTCCTTTGTTATTTTCAGACTGGCTTTTGACCGCGGCTTTGCCTGTGGGAATTATAATAGCCGTTTTCGAGCGAAAAATTGTGGGTTCTCCAGTAGATTTTTAACTGAAAAATCACCCTTTATCATACCAAGGCTTATAAGATGCATAAAGAAAGATTATGTGGCAGAAACGACACAAAACGTTCATCCCATTAAATCTAATACATCGCTACGTTCCTGCCTAGTTCATAAAACCTATTGCTACTCGTTGACCTGTGAGATTGAGACTGGAAGCCTGCCAGAGCGACTAAGCAGCTCTTCAAAGTTGCAGGCCATTAAAAGATTGACTAGTAACGAATTTGGTACATAGAACTTTAAGACTTATGCACGAGAAAATATGAATCACGGAGTTATGTTCGAATTCTATATTAGCATGCTCTTTTTAGAGCACTTTCGTTTTAACGAAACCAAAATGATTTCTACTACTACGGGTCCTACCCAACTTCACCAGATCGTCGGTCTACCAAGTGAGAGGCCTTCATAAACTACGTCCTCCAGACCGTGATCGACACTCTTCTCTGCCCGGACGAACGGTCATCAATGAGGGTTATCGTTTTTATACTTAACAGTTAGCACCCCTGGCGATTGACAGGACCTTACTCTACAATGGCGCCATCTTGATGAGTGCAAATGCGATAGTCCTCCTACCACTTTAGCACTCACCAGATGGTGCCACTGTCTTCGCTACTAGCAAGTGACAGGACCTTACTCTACAGTAGCGCAAGCTGGTGAACGCTAAAACGATAGCCCTCATTCTATGAACTATGTGCCCCGCCAACCACCACTATTGGGCCTAAATATTAATACATACAGAATTTGAATTGACTTTCATTATTTCCTCACCCACACAACTTAAATAGCTTTTACCCGACTGCACCAGAAGGAGGGTTCATCATCAACAGCCCTTTACAGTCCACTGCTGGACTATGAGCCTCCTCCACTATAGTGGAGGGTTTTGCCATAATCTCCACGCTTGGCAGGCGGGTTGGAAATCGCAGTTTAAAAGATTGATGTTTTTCAGAGAGCGCTGCTGCCCATTCTCTGTTTGATGTGTAGTCCCTAAGTCGCCTCTTACGACACCCGCGGGAAGAGTAGGGGTTGGTGACAAATGTATTCTACTCTGCCGAAGGAATCTCTGAAGATCTCTGAAGGAGGGTTATTAATCAAAAACTTTAGCCCAAGATATTGCTTCAACCAAACACAGAACCTAACCATAGATCGTCCTCAATACCCCAAAACCTCTGGAATTTCGCCAACATTTTGTTTACTATGTCACAACGTTGTATGTAAATGCGTGCGAGTCGTTACATAACGTGTTTTGGTAAGTTATGGGCAATGCTAGTGATGCGCAAAGGTTTCTTTGAATCGATTATATTAGTAGACTCGATTAATGTTAGGTAATTAATCATATCGCCAAGAAATTCGGGCTTACCACATCGTTGCTGTCAGTGCAAAAGGACGAATGTCAAATCCAAATGTAAAAATTAAACAGTTTTTTGTGTCTCCTGAAAACCTACTGGTTTATTATACATCATTTTGAATCGATTACATTAGTCGACTGGATTAATATTTGAAATATGAACCATACAACCCAATTGCGACTTAATAACAATCAATTGTTAGACATAGGCAGTGCTAGAGATGCTCAAAGGATTAAATCGATTATCATAATTACTCGATTAAATTAGAAATGAACCATATTTTGGTGCGTGTACTGTGTAAAATACTTTCTTTCTATTGATTGACAACCCAATTGGGACTACTACCAATCAATTAATGTACAGATAACTGCACATCAACGTATACACTGAGACATCCTATGTAGTTGTAATAGATGCTATATGACAACAAAATTGTAGAGTCTGATGTGTTATCGACTGTAATTACTTTTTAGTTTTTACGAGCTGTCAACACGCGATTTCCCCATAGTTTTACAGCGATAGGAACTTACTTACTTTTCGCCAACTCAATCAAATCAAGACAAACTATCGATTTTATGGCAGCGGAAGTTAAGTCCGAATTCAAATGGAATTGTTTTCAGATAAACAGGTCTCAACTAGAGAACTAGTTGAAAACAATTTTAGACTTATTTAATCTACGTTTAACCTCAAAATCTCCATTTGTCTATCACATGTAATCGAATAAAACTACATTAAATAAGCGATCACGTTTTACCATTTAAAGGCAGATATTTGACCGAATCACACCTGACCTGATGTTAAGTGATATTTTATGCATGAGTGACTTTTTAACACGTTAAATTATTATGAGATCTCGATTCTTAATTACACTCAAATTCACTGGTTCTTCACAAAAACATTGTCCCATCACTAGCAACGATCGTTCACAATTTTCACGGTGCGACTGCGACTCTAGGTATGCTAATCGAAACCTCATTTTTCAAAGTATTCCGTAACAAATATTCGCATTGTCTAACTAATTTAGGGTTGCCAAAAGGTCGGAATTTGGCGGGAGTAGTCTGTTGTTTTGTGGTAGACCACCAGAGGGCCCGGGTTCGATTCCCAGTGGGGACAGATTTTTCTATTCGGTTTGGTTGATGGTAGACCGGCTGGCTGGTAATTTGTTACGCACAAAAACTAATAATCCCGTTAACCTCTCGTGTTAAGCTAACCACAATAGTCGAGTGTCGGAGATGTTTTTGATATATTAGTCATATTTACCTTTATTGTTTCTCATCGACCAAAGTCCCAAAATCACGCAAAATTCTTTCTCCCAATAAGAGGAGAATCCAATCTGTCCAGTAACAACCCTAAATTAATTACGTCACGCACTATTTCGGTCCGGTATTCAAAACCACTTGCAGAACAAACACACAACTGGCACAAGTAAATGTCACTCGTCTACTGGATGCGATCAATCGATTCGATCAATTCGAGCATCGATGCGTGACGAGAAAATCATGAATCGAAATGCCGATGTCGCATTGGCCGTTACGTTAGTCGGAATCTTTGCGGAGTGACGTCACTATTTTTGCGGACTGAGAAATTACTATACTAGTTTTTTTTTTCAAGATTATTAGTACATAATTTGTAATAACATAGGTTACTAATAGTCCCGTTAGCCCCTCGTTCCTTCTAAGCTAAATATGCTTGTGTCCTGAAAGACTCTGTGTTACCAGACATACGGCTAGGCAAGGAAGAGGAGCAGCCACAGTAGGTACCTAATACAGAGTCTTTCAGGAGAGTGCAAGGAAGAGGTGCAGCAACCGCAGTTAAGGAACGGCTGGGACGAACAAGAATAGGCGCATCTAGCTCGTAAGCCTTGACAGGGTTACACTGGTTGAGGCAGCCTTTCTTAAGAATGACCGAAGAACACCGAAGCTAATGGCGACTGCTGGTGCTCTTAGCAGGCTGATGCCAAATATAGGTGGGCCTGCTGCGGCGAGTCGTCGTCTATATCTTGGAGTCGTTCGCTCAATGGCGTTGTACGGAGCCCCAGTATGGTACAAAGCTGTTTCAGCAAAAAGTACCCTACTTCTGCAGAAGGCACAGCGTTTGATTGCTTTGAGGGTGGTCCGCGGGTACCGCACAATATCTGCAGACGCAGCCCTCTCATTGGCTGGGAGCATGCCTTGGGACCTGAACGCCAAGGTCCTCGCCGCGGTATACCAGTGGCGGGGAGACCAAAAATCTGAAGGGCAAAGGCCTGCACCCCGTGAGGTTGAGGCTAAAAAAGAAGAGCTGGAGGAGATGGCCCTAGAATGCTGGAGAGGACGCTTGGCCGTTAGTCAAGTCGGGCGTCGCACTGTGCAGGCACTTCTGCCTGTCCTAGCGGAGTGGCTGCGACGTCGGCATGGTCGTCTAACCTACCGGATGACCCAGCTACTGACAGGCCACGGGTGTTTCGGGGCCTTCCTTCACAGAATAGGCCGAGAAGAGGTACCAGGCTGCCATCACTGCAACCTTGACACTGTGGATACAGCTGAGCACACGCTCCAAGAATGCCCAGCTTGGGCGGATGAGCGTGCGGCCCTCAATATATGTATAGGAAATGACCTCTCTCTACCGGTCTTAGTCCACCATATGACCAACGGAGAGGAGGCGTGGCGTGGAGTTCTCACCTTCTGTGAAGCAGTCATTTCACAGAAGGAAACGGCGGAGAGGGAGCGGGAAGCATCACCCGACGCACCCATTGCCCGCCGCCGACGTCATGGGCAAAGAAGGAGGCTCTATGACCTCCATCTGCCCCTTCCTAATAGGCCTCGGCCATCAGATACGGGGGTGTCTGGTGGCGTCTAAAGAGGCCGCGACGGCGCAGCACGTGTCCTGCGTGCCGCTCGCAGGAGGTTGAAGGCGTAATAACGCCTTGGTTGGGCTGGGCTTGGTTTAAGCGAGTGAAATGCCGAGCAGGGAACGCGGACGAATGCTTGAGGCAAAATGCCGATAGTGATGGCCCGCGTTCCCGACTCATATGGCTACCGAGGGCAACGTCAGGTTTTTAGTGGGTAGGCCCTGCCCTTCTGGCAGGGAGAACCCCACATAACCCACTAACCGCCCCCGCGGCTGGTGGGTATACAAATCAATGTATTTTCCTGACGAAAAAAAAAAAAAAAAAAAAGCCTTTCTTAAGACATAATTTAGAAGCCTGTGGGTAACAAACCATTGGACGTGGAAAGGGTCATTAATTATACGTATACTAGCGGCCGCCCGCGACTTCGTACGCGTGGATCCCGTTTTACCCCCTTCATCTATCTT